CAATTTTCTCGGTTTCCATTTTTCTTTTTGTGCGTCCCGACTGGTCCCGACGCCTTTACAGTGTCATTGCGCAAGCGCAACACCTACTGAACCTGCTGACATGTACTGCGGACGTAGCCGTTCTAAAGACTTGAGTTTAAAAAAATAAGGAAAAAAAGAAAAGACACAAAGGAGCCGAATTCTTCGAAAGAAAGCCTGTGTTCCGGACATGCAAGCAACCCAACAATGCTGCAATGCCGGGAAAAAAAAAAAGAAAAAGGAAGATGAAACGGTGAAACACTGCCAACAGTTTCTAAAACAAGAGCCCTCCAACCGTGAGTGACACAAGGCTTGCCGCTTCAAGCGGGCCACGATGAGAGACGGCACTCTTCAAACTTTTTGTCATTTTTTGTAATTTTATTTTTGTTTCCAGGGGCCGGAAATGGGAGGTAGGGCAGGTCAGGTCTTCTTGTATTGACGGCTGCTCAAAAAGAAGCAAAAACGTCTTTTTCTCTCGATGTTCAGCGTCAACTCGTGACGCCGGCAGTAACCCCCGTCAGGCAATGCAAAAGGAAAGAGACTGCATTAGCCTCAAAACTGCGAGTCATTGGGGACCTTTCCGAGTTCGTCTGCTCCTCGTTAGCGTCCGCCTCACAGGCGTCATTCCTTTCTGTGACGCGGGAGTTTGTCTGCTATCAGAGTCTTTAAACAGCCCCCCCCCCCCCCCCCCCCCCCCCAAACAGCTTGGGGAGTCGCACTGCGCATGCGCAAAACGTCTGCGGTCGCGCTGTTCGGGGGAAGGAAAGCGCTGGGACCCCCTATACTGAAACCAACGTTCCTAAAACACTCAGTTGGGAAACTCGGAAACTCGCATTTGAAACCTGAACCGCTGGCGTCCACCGAGACCAAACTAAATACGATAACAACGCCACGTTTTAGCGACGAGTGAAAACATAGAAGTTGCTTTATTTAGCTACTGCGAGATGGCGCTGCGAGATGGGGCCACCCACCGTGGCGCCACCTAAGCGCCACCGGCCTGAACCACACCGTGACCTGAACTAATACGTGCAGCCCTGCAGTTCCCGGAGTGGCCGCCACGGGAGAAATGGCGGCATTGCGATCGGGGTTGGTTTTAGTTTAGTTTAGTTCTCGAGTAGGGATCGGAGCCACTTTTTCAAAGTATGGCTCCTATGGCAGTTCCCCAACCATAGTCGGTGACAGGTCAAGAACGAAGTGGAAGCTCCTCCCACCTCTTTCCACTTTAGCAGAACGAACGCTGGAGTGGAGGCGACCTCCTCTCCAGTGTTAACTCTGCTCAAGTGGAAAGAGATGGGAGGAGCTTCCACTTTGTTCTTGACCGGTCACCGACTATAGTAACGTTGACTAAAACCCTCCATTGAAAAGGTGCGCAAGCAGTGCTTCAAATCAAATCGTGCAGCGTCATCCTTGGCATCAACGCTGCTAAAGCCGCAGCTAGACTGCTCAGATACATCGTACAAAAGACACGGCGTTCGCTGGAGACAACGTGCGTCCCAAGCGCGTTTACTCCATACATATGCTTGGAACATCTGTGTAGACAGTTCTGGCACGACCGATGGGACACGACCCTCCCCATACAAAGAAGAAACAGACCTCAGACAGTGTTTGCCAACTTTGTTGATGTATTAGCAGTGTGAGCACGGCTTTAGATAACCAGTCGTCGTGGCTTTTCCCTGCACTGTGAACGTAATGAAAGATGCAGTGCCATTCGAATCACCCTTGACACAGCCCTACACTGATGTAGCGCTATCGTACCAATCTTGGCGAGATTCCAACCTCGAACAGGTTTCCCGTGGAGGTGCGCACATCGCACCTCCACGGGAAACCCACCAACGCGCCCAACTATCCATTCTTCTATTATAGCTGGAGAGGTTGCCGCCATCTACGAGCGACGGCGGAAACCATACTGGTTGTGTGCTTGCCGCCGTCGCTTATAGATGGCAGTAGCTGTCCAGGTAGGTTTGTGTCGACATACACGAACACGATCCTGAAAAACCTCCCCGCTGTAAAAAAAAAAAAAAAAAAAATTGGGAGAGGATTTTTTTATATGGGTATTTCGTATGGTATTATGGGATTCTTCATATGGGTATTTCGTATGGCTACGTGGGGATCGCTTGAGCGGGCCACAAAACTATCCAATGTAGACACGCATTCACTTGGGGCCATTTTGTCCGGGTTCGTTAGCCTGGACCTTTTTTGGTCCGCGGGTTCATTTGATCCTACACCCATATAAAGCATAAAATGACATTATCGCACACATAACTGGAACGGTTCTCGAAAACCGCGCTCACGAGAATAATCAAAACGGGTTCGATTTGGTTAACAAGAAAAGCATCGATTTTCCTCTCCTTGCTAACCTCGCTCACAAACTAAAAAAAAAAAAAAAAAAAAGTGCCAAAATTTGCGTTTTGTTGCCTTGATAATATATATATATATATATATATATAGCAGGGTGTCGAACCGGAACCGAACCGAAAACCGGAACCGAACCGGTATTTTTTCCGGAACTGAACCCGAACCCGAACCGCTATATTGTTATTGCGATGAACCCGAACTGAACCGGAAAAAAATAACGGTTACCGACTCATGTCAAAACGGTTCGGCCACGCGCTGTTGACAATGAATGTGCTATCAATGCCATTTGTTTTTTAAGTGCCGTCAACTGACACACACCTCGCTTACATATTTTTCTTCTCCACTCAGTCTTAGGAATATAAACGCTGCATCCATGAATCTTGACAAACGCTGCATCCATAAATCTTGACATAGGAACCAGTATTGCGCTGGTCGCGGCTTGCACGAAAGAAAAAAAATTAAAAGGCTGTGCAAAAAAAAAAAAAAAAAATCGCGTCACGGGATTTTGTTTTCCTACAATCTCGTAAATCCTAAATGCTGCTGTGTGCTCATTTCATAACACGTTTCTAGAACGCGCGAGTTCTTGAAGCTTGTTTCCATCGGAATGAGAAAAGAAAAGGCTGTGGAGTTTGATAATAATGCATCCGGTTTCGTATAGGCACTTAGAAGCTAACATATTTGTGAGACAGCGAATTCTTCTATTTTAATATTTATCCTATTACGCCCTTCTGGCGTTGCGTTCGGTGAAGTGTTTTTCATATTCCGTATCCTGTTTAATGAAAACTTCTTTAAGGGTCTAATTTGAGTTACCGAAGGCTAGTTCAAATAAAGAAAGCTGTATTTTCTCCCCACTGTTCCTTCAATTGCTTACACGCCGAGGTGGCGGGATAGTTAGCGAGTTCTACTTGTAAGTGGGTTTGTAAGGAGGTCGCGGATTTTACAGCTACTGCGTCGGACCCAATTAGATGAAGTCCGAATGCGTAAACGTCGGTGAGGTAACCTTTGAGTGCACATAAAGAAACCATTCCTGGTAGAAATCCCTGAGCCTTACACTACGATGTATCCCGTTTCGTATGTGCTGATTTCAGATGTTTTATTTGTAATTTATTTTGATGTTGCAATTTGTCATTTATAATTTCCGAACCGGTTCGCGAACCGGTTCGCGGATCGAATTAATCGAACCGGAACTGAACCGGAACAAAATAAATTTACCTGAACCTGAACCGTAACCGAACCCGTATATTTTTCGGTTCGACACACTGATATATATATATATATATATATATATATATATATATATATATATATATATATATAAAAGAAGCTTCATAGAAAGATTTCAGTTCTAAGTTCAGTCACCCTGCTTGCCCTTCGACCACTGCGTCCAAATCTAGAAGTCAAACATAATAGTAATAGTAAAAACAACATCAATAAGAATCATATAAATAGCCAATAAACCTGTCTTCCCTTTTTTTTTTTTTTTTTTCTTTTTCTTGAAGCACTACAGTGTATGTTTACTAAAATGACGTTCAACGTCTCGATTTAAGAATATACATGCCCATGATCAACCTTATTTTATAATTTATTTTATTAATAAATATAAATATTCAAAATGCAGTATAAGTTCACTAACAGTATCCTACAAAACACGTTCAGGTGATTATACCGTAAAATTTTTATCCAAATAATGCTAAACCTGAAACACCCTGTCGTTACAAACCCTATAAAGCCGGTCGTGTTGTAAACACGCGGCTTATGTGTGCATAAACGCGGGATTACTCGTACATCGCGGTGCACCCAGTGCGCGGAACCGAATTTGTTTTTCTTTGAATAGCGGAAGCGTGCGAGCGGCGCGAGCATCTCAAACGATCCCCAGGAGGTGCTGCTTGAAAATGCATTCGGAATTGGGAAATGACAGTGTCTAGATGTCCCACTTACTTCGTCCGATTCTTCGTACTCCATGCCGACCGCCCGGGCCGCTAGCCGCTACATGTCAAAATGTCGAACGCATTTTCTCCCTGCTACCGAAACCAGATGGCAGCACCATTCAATATGACTAAATTAAAAGATTTCTGATTTAACGTTCTTGAAGGTATGTGAAACGTTACTTCGAGTTATGCGCAGGAGGCAATAAGTTCTGAGAGGTTGACTGAATCTCTGGACTGAAGTATTGAAGTCTCCGTTTTGCAGGTTTTGCATGTAGCGCATGGCTGGGAGCAGCTGTGATCCGTAGAGCAGAAGGTGCGCCTAACCGATTTTGAAGAGGCTGTCACACAAACTGCAGCTTTTACTAGCTCGCGTAAAAAAATGTAACCTGAACTTTTTGTATATTATAAAAAGTCTTGTTAAACTTGTGTTAACTAGATGGCGCAAGTAATCGTTCAATTAAGTAAACTTACCTGTGTGCGTTTGTCTACCAGTCTTTGTGCTATCATCATCATTATAATTGGTAAAAGTAAAAGTTCAATCTTTAATTTACGAGGCCAATTTTAGAAGAAAATTTATTGTATTATTTTACGTATTTATTGCTGTATTTATTGTGAGAATGTTTTTAATTAGTTTGTGCAAGAAAATAATGTCAACAATGTAAGCAAAGCATGCCACCAGGAGGCCAGCGTCGCTTTTCCGGATTTTTTTTTTTTACACAGTGAGAAAAACGTTGTTTGGCGGTGCGCGAGTGTGAGACATGTAGACCTGTAAATCCTGTACATATTTCGGCATTTCCCCAAATGCCTGACATCATGGATGTGCCCACGGCTCCTCCAGGTGCGTTCTCTTTAACCGGACAGTTTCAAAACGTCGTTATCTATCGTGTACGTGACCATGAAAGCTCCCGAAAATTCTCACCGCGAAAAACACGCGCCTCGTCTCCGCGACGCTAAATTCGCATTGTTCTGGGCCTGCTAACTTGACGTCGCTTCACGAGCAGCATTTCTTTTTAACGTCCCTAGTTTTTGCCTGTGTCGCTCAGTGCAATACCCTGACGTAAGGTGATTCGTAAACAACTGCAGACGACTAGCGATCTCGCCAAGGCGGCTTGGATGCTGAAGCTTTGAGGCATTTCAAAACCCTGCCTCATTTTGGCTAGTTTTCTGTTCCGTTTCTCTGCGGCTATAAGGAATTGTGAACTTTGTTTCGGTAATCGTTTCAGTCCCTTCTTTGTACGGTTCATCTGCTTCGCTTAAAGAAGCATTGCGTTTTGCGCGCGCTTCGACTCGCTTACATTATCAACGTCAAACATACCGTGACCTAATCTGTCTCGTGCGTCGCTGTAGAAATACGTAGAATCTTCGGGCCTACAACTTTCGCAGTATTTATATCATACACTCCTGAGAATTAATCTTTCCGATGAGCGTCGTACCGGCGTGCAGCCGTTTATCACTATGGGGTGATGCACGTTGAAGTCCTCGGGGCTAGCAGCCATAACAGGCAAAAATCTCATCCTACAACGTAAACCAGCGCCACCATACTACGGCAGGCCGACCTCATGCTGTCTAAACATTCAATGTCTAATTTGCACTTGCGCTGCTCTTGCACACAACATTGTTGGCAAAACACCAATGCATAATGTATTTGATGTCTCACCAATACAAAATATTGTCATTATCACACCAGTACCCAACACCTGTATAGTCTGTGACAGGTTAAGAATTCAGTAGATCCAGGGACTCCGGAACCGGGGGGGCAGGGGGGGCCAGAGCCCCCCCAAGATTTTTCAGAATGGGGCTGAGCCCCCTCACTTCGACTTCGAAGAAACGCAAAGCTCTTTATTCATCTATTGTAATTCCTCCAGTCAGCGAAGCAGTGGAAGAGGCCGGATCAACGCCAAATAACCTTCTTCTGCTTTGCCCAGCAAGGTGGACTTTCAAAATAAGGATGAAAAGGTTCGCTGAAAACTACGAGTTCAGGAGACACTGAACGAGCTGTTACAAGGAGAATATTCGATTGCAGACAACAGCAGGGCCAATTTTGAAGGGTTATCAGAGGCTTTTGAAAATGTTTGAAATGCTGCTAGGAGTAAACATTTCTATAGCTTTGTTCGGTCCATGCGAAGGACTTGCAAGGGTACAGCAACGTTCAACGTTTCGCGCCGCAGGTATCAAAGAGGCTGCAGAGACTCTCTGCGAGGCATTGTCCCGTCTGCGGTCTGAAGTCGAGTTTGAAGAGTTGTGGGACTGCGCGAGCTCAACTGCAATGCGGCTAGGTTTGAAGGACCCTCGCAGCGCAAGGCCGACGAAACCGCCAAAAAGGCTTGAAATGAGCAACACACCTTCTCCGCCAGTTGTACTTGATTGCAAGGCAGCGTTACGGAAGGAGTATTTTGCGGCTGTAGACTGCATTCTGAGTGAAACTCAACGGCGGTTTGAATAGCCTGGTATGAAGCAGGGGGGGGGGGGGGCTACTAAATGTATAGAGCACCTTGATTAACGCTGCCGGGGGAAGACAGTTCACAACAGATGACCTGAAAGAGGCCTATAGGAGTGCATGCATGTGATTCTGATCTGGCCCGACTCTCTGCGGAGTTTTTACTTTTGCCGGCTCTTTTATGCAACCTAGATTCCCTCACAATTGACGCCATATTGAGGACACTACAGGCAAAATCCGTCGAAATTCGTGACCTCCTGGACGAAATCATAAAATATACTAAACTTCTTCATTCTGTGCATGCCTGCATGCATCTGTCGCTTCGGGGGGCGCTCGTTTAGTGCCTTACACCGAATTAAAACGTATCTACTCAGCGCATGGGTCAGGGGAGGCTAATACACCTCCTTATTTTGCACATTCAAAAAGGAAGTACGTCAAGCTCAACCTGGATGACATCAAGGAATTCGTCTTCTGGACTGCTGAGCGAACGGCGACCTTTTGTCTTCCTTGAGACGATCAACACACATGGCTTTATATATGGATCTGTTTCCTTCATCACGCTTTTGTGCACATTTTTAAAATATGTATTAAGATGTCATTGTATATATGTAATGATCTTGGCTTACTCGTTCATTTCATAGCGTGGGTGTCTTTTTGGATGAACATTGGAAGAATAATAAACGTGATTCTCCGCAAACTTAATTTTGCAATGCAGTGTATCCTTGTAGGAATTTTGAAATTGTCTGAAGCACTATGCATAAGGGTTTTTGCGATATTGGAGAGTTTTAGTGGTTCGTACGTAAAAGCATTGAGGGTCGGAAAGTGCATGCGCAAAATGCAATATTGCGTTCTACGCGTGTGCATTTCCTACCCGCAATTGTATTGCGTACGAGCCACTAAAACTCCCTACTGTTGTTATAAAACAGGAAGGACAAGTGATTGTACATGCTAAGTAAGGAACTTCATGCAAATAATATTTGATTTTTTAATAAACAATAAGTAAAACTAAGACTATAGAAATTCGGCTCCAGCCCTTGTCTCCTATAATAAAATATACAAAAACAAAATGCTTGACTTCAGCCCCCCCACTCAAAATCGACTTCCGGAGTCCCTGTGTAGATCTTATCAAAAGCACGCTGGAAGCTCGCACCTCCAGCGTGAGCTTACTGCTTTTGATAACACTTTGTCGCATCCTCTAAATATTTAATTCTTAGCCTGTCGCCAACTGTAACATTTTCCGACGCTTGTCTTTTGCGATGGGCACGCAGTCAGAAATTAACTATGGGATGCATTGGCTTTGTTTTGTGTTCCCTAAATTGTAAGGAGCATTCACTGGATGCAAGTCTCACATGTTACATATTGCTTGCGTCGAAAAACCTGCAACAATGTGAGGGTCTTAAAGCGGTAACATAATGGGACCTTGAAAGGGTACATCCTGGCAGTACCAGAGTCGCGGAAAATTTGCTTTAACCCTGCGGAAAGTTTTTTTTCTGGATATTACTACCAACTCCGACAATTTTTGTGATCTTATTGGGCACCGCACGGAGTGCCTCTCAACCATTTATGCTCTAAAGTTGTTTGAGAGGCACTCTGCAGAAGCAGTACTTGACGAAATGCATGACTTGCATGTGACGCCACCACGCCATGCTGGCGGTCATTTATGCATGTAACTCTTGCCGAGAAGAAAATTGGGTGGTGCGAAATGTACGCTGCGCAATGCACTCACTCGCTCAGCAGCAAGGAGACCGCAATATCAGCTGTGCCATCATTGCAAGCCATATGGAGCTTATGGAATCGTGACATAAATCAGAATTTTTCTCGAGGTGATTAACACCATCAGAATTATAAGACAACGTCAGAACCATTATTGTGGGCACCTTCATTTTCCCGAGAAATCGTCCATAATTTGAGTCGTCTTTAATAAGGAGGCAAAAATGCATGTTTTTGTGTAGTTTGTCCCCGAAAATTGTTGTCTGTACAACGAGGTACCCATAATAACTGGGTCTATGTTATTGAGGCATTACTGTATTTGTGCATAGACGGTACTGCAGCTCACGTCAAAACTCCTTTGGCTTCCCAAGTTGGAATGCTTGCACCTCCATTTTGAATCTTGGAAGGGTGAACTGGCAAATCCTTCTGTCACTGTTTTCCTTTTTGCAGTCTACTGATCCCCGGTGTGATTCGTTAGTCAGACCCTGTTGAAATGCACATAGGGTAAAAGAAATCGGTGAACACTCTGTAGTATTTTTTTAACAGTACACACTAGCATCTGCTGGTTTTCGCAAAAATAAAAGGCACGTGGTAAGCACTCGGTTCGAGTGCTTGAAGTCAGTCTCCCCAATTTGCGCGAGCCTTATTAATACAACTCTTCAAAACACTGTCTTTTTTTAATACTTAAAATGATCATCAGCATCACTTATTAAACGTGAGGGCGCAAGTGAGTTGGATGAGTTCGTCATTGTAGGATTACCCAAGACTGCGGTGACGACAGAAAAATGAAGAAGGAAAGACTTCTTTCCTTCTTCTGTTTTTTTTTTTTTCTGTTGTCCCCACACTCTCGAGTAATTCTACAGGGAATGTCACTTGCTTACATGCCATCAAGTGTCTACGACAAGACCCTTATTGCTCACATGTGCCATCTCTACTTCTGCTCCTCCGACATTCTCATCTCCTAACCAGTCTTATGTTGCACAACATGAGGGATGTTTCAGAAGTTGCGCATCTGTGCTGGCGTCCCTCGCGGTTTCAATAGCCACAACCGGTGTCCCTCTCCTTCCAGACCAAGAGTTGCGCAACATCATTGACAAGCTTGCCCAGTTTGTGGCACGGAATGGACCGGAGTTTGAGCAGATGACCAAGCAGAAACAGAAGGACAACCCCAAGTTCTCGTTCCTGTTTGGTGGAGAGTACTATGCCTACTACCAGCACCAGGTCTCCTCACAACAGACCTGTAAGTTCCTTACCTCTGTATCCTGTAACTCAGAACGCTGTACCTCCGAGACTCGTACATCCGAATCCTGTGTCTTTGAATCCTGTACCCCTGAACCCTTTCCATATGACTCTTGTACTTGGAATCGGGACCTTCTAAATATTGTGCCTCTGAATCCTCTATCTCTGAGTCTTATACCTCTGAATCTTGTACTTCTGAATCTTCTGCCTCTGAATCCCATATTTCGTTCTCTACCTCTGGGTATTTTGCCTCTAAGTCATGTAACCCCTGTACTGTATTTGTCCTGTATATGAGTCTGAGCCCAGGTTATTTGTACTATGTAATAACTGTATCGTGGTGCAAATGCAATTAGGCTTACTTATGGCTGAGTCCCACTAGAGTGGCGAACAGAAACAACGGTACTGATTCGTCTGGCGTCGCACTCCGCTCGAGGAGGAGGAGGAAAGAAGGAGGAAGAGGAGGATCGGAGAGGAGGGAAGAAAGAAGGGGAGGAGGAATAGAGAGAGAAGAGGAGTGGGTGAGGAGAAAACTGGGAAGGGGCCCCCGGAAAATTTGTTGGGAAAAAAAAAAAAGAAGGGGAGTTGCAATCGGGAAGGTCCCCCGGCGATTTTTTTTTTTTTTTGGGGGGGTAGTTTGTTGTGGGGAAAGCAGACGACGACTTTCAGAAGCACAGAAGCAATGAGCGTGCGCTCTTCACATTGCGGCTATTTCTCAGGTTTTCAAGAACGTACTAGATTAATGGTTTTGATTTCGTATTCGTGAATTATAGTTTTTTTGCGAAACTGGGTCAATCCTGGGTAAAATTGGTTTCCCAAACTTATCTTAAAGGGATTGTTTGTATTCTGCTGACAACTCGCCACGTTGCGCTGTTAGCATTTGGAATCTGGGTTGAATTTCACAACGTGAATTATAGTTTATTTTCAGGACTGGGTCAATTCCTGGTTAAAAATTTGTTTCTTAAACTTATGTGAAAGGGACTGTCCCTATTCCGCTCACAAATCGCCACGGTGCGCTGAGCCGAGGGTATTAAATATATTAACCCAATTAATTATCTGTAAAAGCGACCAGTGTTTAGTCAAACATCCAGAAACAGAGTTTCTAAATCTGCTAGAACGCCCTAAGCACATGAAAAGAAGATATCTCATTCCAAATCGTCTGCTTCCCCACAACAAAGTACCCACAAAAATTCGCCGGGGGACGTCTCCAACCCCAAGTTCCTTCTTTTTTTTTTTTCCACAACAAACTTTCAGGGGGCTTTTTCAGTTTCCTCCTCACCCCCTCCTCCTCTCTCTCTCTCTATTCCTCCTCTCCTTCCTTCTTTCCTCCTCTCCAATCCTCCTCTCCCTCCTTCTTTCCTCCCCCTCCTCGAGCGGAGTGCGACGCCAGAGGAATCTGTACCGAAACAACCGACAAGCCGCAGGCACGCGAAGATATCTTTGGCAGGCTTGTAGTCGCTCATACTTACTTCGCGAGAACTGAGAGACTCAAGCCTGCCAGAGGTACCTTTGCGTGCATGCCACACGTGCTTGAGGCATGTCGGTTGTCCGTTTGTCGCTCGGGTATTATCAACATGGTTGTCAAAAACTTGATGCAGCTACAGCTCAAGACACTCTAGTTTGTGTATCGTGGCCCTTTTAGAGTCTTGGATTTTAAGTGTGCTTTAATTCTAAGTGTGCTTTCAAGGTGAAATTATATCTTTGTGAAAAATCTCATAAAGGGAAGCTAAAACACTTTTAAGAAAAAAACAAAAAGAACGAGTTAGAGGTGATTTTTGGCGTATTTTTATCCCATAAATCTGAATATCACATTTGTTTTCCCCGAAGATGTAACTAAATGCGAGAAAACGTGGAAAAACCTCCGACAAGTCATAACGTCATACTAGGATCTTTGGGCTGCCAAGCGCGTGTCGCTCGTGTGAGCAGCGCGTGCAATTGCCAGCTTGCCAGGAGGGCAAGCTGGCAATTGCCCGCCCGCACTGATACCAGTTATGACGTCCCTTTCTGACCTTTTCGAAAACAGGAAAAGTGTGCGCACATATCTTCGATTAGTGCTGAAGATGTGCGAAAGCAAAGATTTTAAAAACTCCTAATATGACGTCACACCTCGGGAAGGAGGGTCTTCAGCGGTACTTTAAAAGTCAATTTCTCCAGCCTCCATGCACCAAATTGAAAAATAACCCCAATATTTGTGATCCTGGAGGCCAAATGAAGACGTTTTAACTGTTTATCCTCAAATACAGAACCGCTTCAGTTTCTCTTCAACTTCTAAAACATGCTAAATTAAGAAGAAGAAAAAAAAAAGGGGGGGTCCTGGTGTGCAAGCTAGAATATATTTGCCTTTGCTTAAAGGGGTAGGGAAACGAAATTTCAGCGCTCATTTTCTGGCTTTAATGTGCTGCATGTTGCACCCTAACCTCAATAACACCAGTCTTCCGTTGAAAAGCACAAGAAAACTAATTTTAAACCTAAATAAACGACTTTCAATGTGCACCTAGTGGATGCATGCTAAGCCTATTTGGGAGGTAGTCTAGCAACGTTGTGGAATCTGCTACGTAGTCGTGACGTAGCAGATTCCTTCGGAGCAGCGCCGCCCTTTGGCATTTCAACGTTTTCCTTCTTAGCTTTCCTCCTGAACTCACAAATCGCGCATTGTACCAAAAAGTCCAAGAAGACGGAAAGGAAGGACTCCCCTCTTTCTCGGACTCTCGTTCGTGCAACCGGAAACAGCCATTCTCCCCCTAGAAGATTAGCACGTCCCTCAAAAATCGAACAAAAGTTGCTCTCCCCACCCCGTTCAGCCCTAAGCTGACAGTGTTGTGGAAGCTGCGTGCTCCTTGGGCCAGCCACACGCTCGTCACCCCACGGGTACTTCGAACGGCTCGATTGTAACGCGCTGACGCTATTGACACCACCACAACGCTGACAACGCCACCAAGGACAGAGCTCATAACCACGCCTGCTTTGCTACTCCACGAACACGGAAAATCTTTTCTTTCTCTTTTTGTTTGCGCCGGATATCCCATGACGCATCGCGCTCTCCGCTCGCTTCTCTTCGAGCGCTTGCTCGAGTGCACCGTTTGGAACGAAAAATATAGCCAGTCGTTCAAAATACAATTGTGCGATTATCATTTACGGCCATTATCCGTCATGCCCGACTCATTTCCAAACGAAATCTGAATATTTCAATTTTTGTTTCTGTACAGGTTTTGATTGTAGCTCTTTTTGCTAGTAACCCCAGTACAATGACATAATTGTTTCATAGCAAAAAGTACCATATTTTTTTCTCAAGGCGCATATCAAAAGCTTTAGGAAGGCATCGATGAAACTATTCTGGCTTGCATATAGTTGCTTTCTTTTTTTTTTATTTTGCCTGTTTAAAAAGAAAAAAGAAAATTGCTCCATCAAAGAGTTTTTGAGTTTTGAAACATAAAGTAAAACAACGATAAAAGTGGCACCATACTCGTGCCTTCAATATAAATAATAAAAAAATATTGATAAAGAAATTGTATTGTCTAGTCTCCTTTTTCTCTTGTATATTAATCTCTTTATTATAGTATACTTTGTCCTAAAATATCTGTAAAAGGTGACCGAGGAACAAGTTCATTTTGAAAACAAAAACCTGCAGATTTGAGCTCATTCAAGTGAAAGACTACAACTTTATTGAAAATAAAATGCAGAGAAGAAAAGAGTTTGGCAGCAGTTGCATTGTAGATTTTGGCAGCTGCAGAACCAGCACCAATTTCCCCAGATCATAGAGTAAAATTAATATATTTATGCAATATTCCTTTCTTATATCATAAATTACATCAGTACTGTAGTAGTTCTGGGAGTAAAATAGTTCCTGGTTTCTTGCGGTGTCTTGCACGCCAACTATAGTGAACACTAATCATGCCATCAAGTGACATTGCAGTGTAATGCTACATAAAGGCATCACCTAATATTGTGAAAAAAAGGACGTTGCCCGTAATCATCATCATTGGAAGTTGAGTGAATAGAAGAAAACAAAGTTGCCTGGGATTCCAAGAAAGATGAGGAAGACAATACTGTGCCGCAGCTTGAGAGAGATTATAAACAAGTTTGCAAGTAGGTTGGCAACAGGGGGTATTTGAAATAGTCCATGCAGCGGTCTCTCCACGCTCCTTGACAACATTATGTTGGGATATCAGGGGAAGTGTGCCGACAGCACAGGCAAGGGTAATCCCGCAATTCATGCCTACCGTAAAATACCGGGCTAGCGCCCACTCAAGATTTTGAGATAATCATGAAAAAATGGGGGATGGGCGCTTGTCCGGTCATCAATTCTACAGATCAATGTACTGTGCATATTTTCTCGGATTTTACAAATTTGGGAATGGGCGCTTAATGTGGTATGGGCGGATGCACGGTATTCTACGGTATGAGGCACTACATAATTGGTACGCTGGACGCAGCACCGCCCTGCACTCCGGGGAAGGAAGAGAAGAAAAGGCTGACAAAAATGGTTGCATTGAGAATTTCTCTCCAGTCCGTAGAGGTATTGTTCAACTGTAAATAGGGGCTCAACCCTTTATACCTTTTCTTATATTTCTTGCCCGCCCTGTTTAATTTTAAACCCAATTTCCAAAGAGCCAACTTGCCTTTACCATTGTGGCACAGCTGCCAGTTTACAGATAGTATTGCACTGCTCTTGGCCTCTGGGAGATTCATGGAACGTCACATTTGAGGTGACTGCTCGCAGTGCGTGCTCAAGATGAGTTCTTATTTATGGTCTCCCAAAGAAGACAATCTTGATGTTGTGCAATGTGCGTGTTGGAAGCGTTGTGGAAGCTTGCTGGCAGCACGTGCTTAGCAGCGGCAAGCTCAGCTATGGCCGCCAGTGAATGGCACCTGTAGCTGCACCTTTACTTCTAGACGCCCATAACAATGTGGCACGAAAAAGCTGGTACTGAGTATACTGCTTGTTTTAGCGGTTTGTGGCTATGGCACATCAGCTTGCTCTCGCATCCCCTGCTAACACCAGCAGCGCTGAAACCCAAGGATGCAGCGCCGCAGGCGGTGGCAGCTGTGGGTGGCGCCAACCCGCAGTGGCCGGTAGCGGCTCCCACGACGGTGGCGCTGGCACAGCTTCAGCAGCAGGTGCAGGAGATTCAGGAGCAGATTCGCCAGAGCGAGCAGAATTTGGCTGCCCAACACCAGGTCCTCCTGCAACAGCAGCAGGTAAGCCTTTTTGGGAACCCACATTTCTAAAGGGACGGCATCCTGTATTGCTTGCGGGCCGTCGTTCCGTTTATCATAATAAGGTTGCAATGATCCATAGTTTAAAGCGCGAACATTCAAGCTATCGTTTGCCAACAACAGCTCGACATGTAGCTGGGGAAATTCAGTTCAGCCTTTTTTTGGTAACTTCGATAACAATACCCGATAGTAGTACAACCCCCCCCCCCCCCCTCCCTTAAAAAAAGTGTACATAATATGAGTGATCTATAATAACTAAAGAAAAAGTGAAAGCCGTTTACAACTCCCAGTAACGCCCGATTGGAGCGCAGCTCTTGAGGAGGAGGAGGGAAGGGTACTGGGGGGGGGGGTGTCAAGTGACCTTAGAGGGGGGGGGGGGGGGGGTCACGTGACGTGGGGTCACATGACGATGCCGATGACGTCATCAGTAACGATGACAATGCGGATACCATGACGTTATCAGTGATGTCACTGATGACGTGATCAGTGATGATGACGATGCGGATGCCGATGACGTCATCAGTGATGATAACGATGACGATGCGGATTTCGGTGACGTAATCAGTGACGTCACTGATGACGTCATTGGGGGGTCACGTGACCTTGGGGGGGGGTGTCACGTGACCTTGGGGGTCACGTGACCCTGGGGGAGGGGTCAAATGACCTCGGGAAATCACGTGACCTTGGGGTGACCTTGGGGTCACGTGACCTTGGGGTGACCTTGGTTACGCCGACGCCGACATTGCGGCGTTTTTTGCGAGATGCAACAGGTTGCATGCAACCTGCAAGTTGTATGCAACATACAACCTGTTGCATGCAATCTTCTCTAAGCTGCATGCAACAGGTTCCACAGGATGCAACAGGTTGCATGCACCCTGTTGCATCTTCTCTGAGCTGCATGCAACAGGTTGCACAAGATGCAACAGGTTGCATGCAGCGCGCAATTACGCCGACGGCAACGGCGACGCCGACGCCGCTCAGGCTGGAAACGGGCCCCTAAGAGCTGCGCTCTAAAATGAAAGCCGCTTACAACTCCCTGTAACGCCAAATTAGAGTGCAGCTTTTGAGGAGGAGAAGGGAAGGGTACTGAAGGGAGGGTATACCCCTCCTCCCTCCTCATCCTCCCTGCTACTCCTCCTGCCCTCCTCCTCCTTCACCTCCTTTGCCCCTCATCTTTCAACCTCCTCTCGTCCTCCCTTCCTCCTTGCCGCTCGAGCCCTCCTCCTCCATCCTCCTCCCCTTCTCCCTCCCGACGCCAACGCGTTACCAAACGTGTTACGGTTACGCCGCTCAAGCCAGAAACGGGCGCCTAAAAGCTGCGCTCTAAAATGCATGTAGTATTTACCCAGATTATTCCCACAAATTTTGTCTCTATAGCGAGATATTCATAAAAAGGCTCGAGGTACACCTAAGCACTTCTTATGAGTTGTGAATGCAAAAGCATGCACGCCGCTCTTCCGCTTCCTTTTTTCGTCTGTGGCATACTTGCGTCGACGATCATGCGTGGGCGTGGAGTGGAGGAGCTGATGCCTCGCAAACACGCAGCGCCATGGGGTGGCGGTCGTTGAAATTGACGCGCAGTGGCCAATGGGAGCCTCGTCGACACGTGCCAGCCAATGGGACCGAAGCCGAAATCCGTCGGCTTTACTCCGCTCCTTTGGGATCGGGGACCTAGGTGCCGTTTGGCTAGGCTCTCGCGTGCTGGCTTCACTCGGAGAAAGGATTTAAGGTGCCGTTTGGCACAGCTTCAAAACTGATGACGTCGGCTCGCTCCATGAGACATAATGCCTTTGCATAAATAACGGGATTCATTTCAACGAGTCACGAGTGTATGATGCATGCTGAAAGGTGCCGGCGAGGTATTGGGCATTGCTATTGGAGTTGAGGCCAGTTCACACTGCCCGTTCGCTTATGTTACGTTATGTTACGGAAGCTAAGGTCTGCTTATGTTGAGAGTCAATGGGACATTTGTGCTGCGTGTGAAGCGTGGCAACCAATTGAAGAAGTGGCTTTGCATGCGACATACGAAACATGGATGTCTCGGCGATTCATAAAGTAACATTAGAAAACATGAGCAAGTGCCCCCGGCACGAATGGGCCTTTATCGGATCGATCTACTAAAACTCTCAACTGGTGAAAAGGGGAACGGGTCATTGTACTGTAGCTGCTTAATTTATAATGGAGAAAAACCCTTTTGGAATATGTAGCATACTTTAGTAATGGAGGAAATAGGGCAATTTTATGCTTTCATTGGACTCTGAAATTGTAGGGATCAAGGAAACTTTATGGAAGACCTTATTATACTGCCTGCTTTATGCTAAACGTTTGATTGGAAGACCTGGAGACCGACTTTCTGTGGTACCGATGGCTTTATCAAAGGTATCGTACGAATACCAACTTCATGGCTCGGAATAATGCTTAATTGTCGTTATTATCGATAATTGCATAGTCAGTGAAATGCTAAGAATGCTGCTGACGCTCCACTTCCAGTGCGGGCTTCCCGCGTCTGGCAACTGTATACTGCATTGCTATCATATTATTGCGCATTTTTCCTTTCTCCTTGAGGGCTTGTAATAATGCTCTTGCATTGGAAATCTTTTCAGTAAAAAAAAAAAACTGTCCTGTGACTGTGTTTTACTAATACTTTTGTTTATCTCGATGTGTTTAGTTGCCTACCTCCCCTTTAATACCTTCTGGGCCCTGAGGGTACTGTAATAAATAAAAGAATATTGAGTAATTAGTTGTTCAGATGAACCTGTGGTGAACGTCGGAATAGCCGCAGTTCAAACGGTCGTTGTGCGATTCTCCTTCTCGACGCCTCCTTGCAGGTGCAGTTAGATGAGGCAATACGCAAGGCCCAAGATGACAAGCTGACGGCACAGGCCAAGAGCTGCGACCTCGAGATCGCAGAATTGGATAAGGTCCTTCAGCCTATCATTGAATCCTGCACAAAGGACGCCATCTCTGTGAGTTGGCCTCCGCCACCCCCCGAAGCGACGCTTCGTCCCACCCCGTTCCTTGTTTGTTTGTTTACGAGTCACACCAGACGGCCGAACAACAAACTCTTCTTGCTGGCTTGCCCCATGCACTTCGTTGAACTATCTTTGTTACGCTCGAGCATCTAAAAGTAATCGCGCCGTGTACTTGTTTAGACGGTGGAAAGTTAATCGGCCCCAATGGTGTTGCCACTGTAGACGAGAAATTTAGCCAGTGCAGTACCGCCACTAGCCTGGGGTCATTAACGTGTGTCACACTGTAGTGGCACACGACCGAACATAGATACAATGTCCATCCACAGTGTTCATCCAGATCAAAACGGGCAGGGGTGGGGATTGAGACCAGGACCCTTGGGTTCTGCAAAGAGAGCTTTTGCTCCTTGCACTGTGATCTGCGGTTCGATAATGAGGTCGGCCACCGATTTCCTGCTTGAGCGTTGACGAAAGAACTCGGTTGTCATCAAGTGGTACTGTCAAAGAGCACCCAGGCTGTCAACAACATGCTTTCTGGCCAGCTCATACATGCAGCACAGCGCCGAAGTATATAGTGCGAATTCAACACTGCATAAACGTTAGCATCAGTGCTTATTTGGCATTGAGTTAGCTTTGTATTGCGTGTGTAAACAGGAAGGCCTTGGGTCACATACAATGGAGCACTGATACAGTGCCGACATACTGCAAGCTCAGCGCCCTGTCTATATATCGCGCTCCGCTAAACACGTGAACAGGTCTTTTGGTATGTTGGTGAGTGGTGTTGATTGATTGTGGTCCTGGTATGTCTGCGCCGTGCGAGTCTTGAATTGAGGAGGTCGCGTCACTCTTTGGCTGTCAGGCTCACCCTGAAAGAACTACCATTATGTGGCAATCATTCTTCCAGGAATTGTTTTATTTCGTTTAATATTTTTTGAGAACAGAATGGGACTTCAGCGTAGGGTCTTGAGACCACCCAGGGAGAGAAGTTTGTGCTACAATTGTCAAAAGCTTTTTTTTCTTTTTATTGTATGACAGGACAGATTTTACATTCAAGAACCATGTTTTTGGGGATAGGGATTGATTTGCATTTGGATAGGAATGGCCCAAGCGTTTTCTTAGTGCACGATTTAATTAAAACAGTGTCTGCAGGGTGGAAATGAAATCCATTTTAAATCGTACTGTAGTGAGATGGCTAAAGTGTTTGTGTAGTCATGTTCCATGCCATTGTAGCAGTTCTCAGTGCATTGTATCAAGGTGGATGTAGGAGAAGCAGTTGTAACCGTTTTTCTCAAAGCTGAAAACACGCTTTTCGTTTCGTTGAGATGACAACACCGAACCCCCTCAACGTTTTTCAGGCTGGAAAGGGTTGGATTTTCTCTCATTCTACCACGCCGCAACGAAACGACCTAATATGCCAGTACCTTCTCAAGAAGTAAGTGATGACGAGGCTTTGGATCTTCTCGTCGTCTTGAGAATTTGTTAATATGTCTCTTGTGCTGGCTTCCAGAAAGGTAGCAAAAGCTAGTAGACTAGTACTCCTGCTTGTTTAGTAGTGAGGGTGATAGAGAGAATGTGCTCAAATGTAGCAATCCCAATATAATGACAGCGAAAGAATGCCATTATCAAGAAGCCACAAGATAAGGCAACCTTCACTAAGCAGAGTTCTGTCTTCATGCTATATTAATTACAACTTTTTATGAAGAGGTAACTGTTAACACTACTGCCCGAGAGCGTTGTGCCCAGTGTTGAGCCAGAGCAATTTCTTTTTTCGTCAAGCGTGCTTCTTGAGATTTAGGTAAAAAAAAATGATCTATATGTATTTGAATGGGCATATCAATATTATTAATACCGATGTCTGTTTATTTCAACAGGTTTTTTTTTTTTTTCTTGCTCTTATCAGAGTCTTAGGAGGACTGCTACTATCAGTCCTTCTGAAAAGGACTGATAGTATGTGAAATAGATAAGTCTAGTATAGCAAGCCACGTGTTTTGTGTCGTCAATAAAATATTTTATATAGTCTTGTTAAGCAATGTTTATGCCATGTCTTCTCGCATTAAAGGCCGGCCTACAAAATCGTTTTCCGCCGGGAAGAAAATCAGTTTCCAATTTTCCTCCTTCCATTCCCTCTCACGCTCTTCTCCCCTCCTCTCCCCACAGGAGTGGATCTCTGAGCTACTCCCCACAGAAAGGAGAAGGGTCTCCCTCTTTCTCAAAGGGAAAGAAGGGATAGAGGGAGAGTTTCCTCCTCCTTTCTGGTTGCTCGTCGGCCTTTACAGGCGTTCTTATTTTCGACGCAACTTTGTTCTTAGAACTTTGCATTCCTCCTTTGTCTATCTTCTGCCAGGGTCACCGTGCCCGGAGCACCCTTCGACATGAAGCTTCACATCGTGTACCTGATCAACGACGTGCTGCACCATTGGTGAGTCGCGTTCCTTGCCCGAACCATGCTGCCTGGAATGCCTCGTTAGTGGTCCGTCGACCTCCGCCCGACGACGTCACACTCGTGTCGCGCCGTCATACGACGCAATCGCGGCGGTGGCGCGGCGGCGGCGCGGCGGCATAGACGGATGCAGCAGACGCCTGTTCCGCTCTAGGTCGGTGTCTAACTTGGCAATCCACGGTAGCTTCGGTGGCCAGGAGTCGACGTTTGCTCATCCCTCTTGCCAAAACTTTTGCGACCAAACCGCCGGGATCGCGACTTCAGACTGCGTGGCATGCCGTCTCCCCTGACCTAATCTATCGACGCTTTGGTACCATTTTCGAAGCACGAGCAGTATAGGAAGCCGAGCGCACGAGTCAAAGACGCGCTCTAGGCACCAAATCGAAACTCGAGTCTTGCAGTCTGAATGAGGAGGTTTCGAGAAGACCTTGTTAGTCGGTTACTGTCTCTGCTGCGTTTGACGGAAGAATTTCCTCGCAGCGTGCGCAAAAACGCCGACGGCTTGAAGCAGGCCCTGGAGCAGTTTGTGGTTCCCATCTTCTGCACGACGAGCATTGGCGTGGACGAGGAGAAAGGCCAGAAACTTGCCAAGGTGAGCGTGGAAAACGCTTGGCTGCAGGCGGAAGATAGGCAGAGCGGGCTAGTATTTCGTGGCACTTCAAATGTCTTTTATTGCTGGTAGCATATGCTCCGTTTTACCGTAAGGGAAAGCAAATGCAACGCTACAAGCATGAGCATGTTGCAGAAAAAGAAGTTGGGTAAAGTGACCATATTCCTCGGGAACCAAGTATGGGGATGGAAGGTGTATTGTGTTGTGAGACTTGAAAACTCTAAATTTCCGTAACAGATCTCACTTTGTTATATCATGTACACCGTGCGCATTTCTTTTCCTTGCAGTTCGCATACTGTATTGTGTGCGCATGTAATATGTTTGGTTGGAGTATTTTTTTTTTGTATTAATGTATTTATTTTTGTAGATACTATGTTAATGGTACTGTTCACATGTTATATGCAAATTAAGAGGGGACACTACCCAAAAAAAACAATTTCTGCAAAAAAACATTCATTTTAAAAAATGTCATATTTACATCCACCAACATCTAGAGGGTATTCCCAGAAAGTTTCATTAGATTGTACTGCATAGTTAATTTTTTATAAATTATTTTTGGTCCAGCAACGCCAAAGAAAAGGTACAGGTTGGAGCACTTTGAACGTATTTTTCTCCATTCCACTTTCTGGCATAAATTTCACATTAGGAAAACTATCGTTTTGTTATTACATAACTTGGATTCATTTTTAAGAGTTTTTCTAGGGTGAAATATTAAGGGGAAGGTAACTATGAGCTTGTATTTTTTATTTTTGTCATTTTTCATGCTCAAAAGCAAAAATTTTGGACAAAGGATGGAAATCTAAAACACTGTATTTGTGTTTATGTGGCTCTTTTGTCATGAAAGATGGTATAACATAGAAATATAGCTCCATAGTTATCTGCTCTGAACTGTCCTAATACAATATAACACATGAAAACGACCAATTTATAAGTAATTTTAAAACAATAGTTTTCCTACGGAGGCACGCCCACTTTCATCTTTGAAGGTCTGCAGGTTTTTTTGTACTTCACCCAGGTTAACAAAATTTGGCAGAAGTGTTCTCAACATGAAAAGAAACAAGCCCTGTAAATATAATTTAAATCAGACGAGTGGTTAAAAAATTTACTTTTTTGGGTAGTGTCCCCCCTTAACCTTCAGCATCAGCATTGCTTTAAAGGGGCGATGCAACAATTTTTGTACTTTGCGCAAATACCACTTAGAAGGGATCCCTGACGTTAATGACCTATGAAACACGCATTCGTTTTTCACCCCGCGCAATAAAATTCCCCCCAAAAATTAAAGAAAAACGAGCAGCATTCACCCCCTCAACTCGCAGCCAAAACAAGCGACCACGTGATCTGGATCCGATTATATGCCGCCAATGTTGATCATAGCCACGCGCTGGGGTTGGCAAAGCACAGGACACGCGCTGAGTTCCAGACATTGTTATGGCTCGGCTATTGTCGTCATTGCAGCGATTGGACACGGGCCACTACCCGAATGCTTCTCAAGCTTGTAATTATCACGAGTCCAAATCAAGTGCCCACGCAATGCTGGGATCCAATCTATGAACCGCATTCAAAGATCATCATTGGGGTGTACTGCGATCCCCACGTTACGTCATAAATTTTTGCAGAGGAGAGATTGAATGAAAACATACGCTTTTGTCCTTGAAATTACACCGCAACAAAGGAGTTTCTTGGCCAGTGGCATTTCGTGCAAGTATCCTTGAGTCCCACTAGTGCCAGTAAGCTCGTGTAAAGTGAAAAACATTCCAGTTGAATATCGTTGCACCGCTCCTTTAAAGCATATCTTGTGGCACCCTCTCTACTGATGCATCCTTTCGTTTAACTGCGTTTTTGATCTCTTTGGGGAAGCCGAAGCTGCACAAAACACTGTCCCACAAGCCTGCTGGCGGGACAGTGGGACCACGGCCGGAAAAGCGGGACCTGTCCCACATAAATCGTGGCGTCTGGTCACTTTATAGTTGGGCTGACTGGTTCATATCAAGGTCAAAAATAGTGCCTAAAGAGAAAAGGATGGAGAACAAGTGGAACGAGTATAGTTGACATTTTCACGAGCGTTTGCATAGCGGGCCAACTCGGAGCGTTGCTCTTGCTTTTGTAGCTTTTCCTTTCCTGGTACATATGGGGAAATTAGGTATAGGTAAAAAGGGTCCTAGAATTGATCCCTATTCCTAGGGTTACGATGTCCTTTTTTAGGCCCCTAGGGTTTCACTAACTGCCTTTGTGATCTAAGGACATTGTGGCCCTGAATCTTTAAGGTTCCACAACTATTTCTAGGGCACCAGAGACTTTTTAACCTTGGATTTCTGGAATTGCACGAAATGTCTTGGGGAATATAGGGGTTCTTTGTCTCTAGGTCCCTAAGGTTTCAATTCCTTTCTCTAGGGATCCTGCAACTTTTTGTTTGTAGATTCCTATGTACAATTTGTGATCATGAGTACTGATAGACATCTCTCATCAATGTTTCAGTTGCTGAAGCTCTGGGAGACAAATAAGTACTTCCCACCCCTTATTCTTGAGGTAGGTGTCTCAGTGGTAGCCTTTCAGCATATCCTCATTTTTGCACCAGCAAGCTAATCTGGAGCATCGCTGTGTTTCTTCTTCTTGTCTTCAGCAACTGAAAAATCCAGCCATCTCCCTCGCCAATTACCAAGTGAGTGATCTCTATTGTCACTGGATTTTTTCAAAGTACTATGGGTTGGGCAATCTGCAATTTCTGTTGTTGAGATTTTTTTTTTTTTTTTGTATATTCTATTTTTTTTTAATAATGAGCATTGTTTCCTATTTGGTTTTCTTATATGGTATTCTACTACTGTGAATGCTGTAGGACTTGTGTCGTGCCCTCCCTCCCCCCCCTTATGCTTGCCCACTTTGGACACTTTTGAAGTAATGTTAAATGCAATGAAAATTAAAAGCTGAAATTAACAGGTCATTATAGTCAACCTGGAAAAGCCAGGGAGATTGTCACAAATTTGTTCCAAAACGCTGTGAAATAAAAAATATGCATAAACGTTTACTTTTTTGGCATGTTGTCTCTGCAAGGGCAGATTCAGGACAGATGACATACGGGCAGTTCCGTCAATGATTCTAGATACAGTACATCTAGCGCCAGCAAAGGTAGCTATAATTGCTGTTAACTTTTCTGTGTGACATTGTCAAGGTTAGCGTAGTTTCGACACTGCTACCGCCACGCACTAGTGCGAGAGCATGTGGCTTCTTGAGTCTTATTTGCATGCGCTCTTGTGCGAAAGAGACGCTGAACGAATCTAACACTCGCATAGGTAGCTTTGAATGCGTTGAACCACTGTGTAACCTAACTAGCCTTCACAGTGTGGCACAAAAATGTTGACGCCGAGTCTCGGGCTCATCCAACGTTGATCGGGGATTGTGATTCTCACTGTTTGTTTCCGAACCTGTTGGCGTCCATTCATGTTCCATGTTCAAGGGTACACTGGTGCGGTGTATGGCTGGAAATCAGTTGTACTAAATCGGTGTGACTTAATGGTAAGGGGACACTGTTGGACTGCCAGTATTTCCGCCTCTTTTCCTCCCCAGGCAAGCCTGATAACGGAGCACGCCGCAGTGATCACGTCGGTGACGGCAGCGGTGCAGGTCAAGTACACGCAGCTGCAGAAACAGCACCAGGACTTTGTGGCGCACCTGACATCTCGGTTGCAGACGATACAGTTTGGGGTAGGTCTCACTTCAGTGTCTTTTTACAAGTGACTGAATTTGGAGCTTAAGTTTCCTACCGTAACCTTATTTCCGTAATCTGATTTTAAGGGGGAACACTGGTCTTGGAGCTTTCTTTCTCATTTTTTGAACAAACCCAATGGAGCTGCACAATGTCTGGTGATATTTTGAGTCATTAGGTTAGTCCTCAGGATAATTATAACTCACCTGCCTTTGTTTGCAAAAACAATAGGAAAATATATTATTTAAAAGAATAATGTTTTAACATGTGACTAGATCAGGGTGTCTAGCAACCGGGAATCGTCAGGGAAATTTTAATTACCGGAAAAAATTGAGCAATGTCAGGGATATTGTCAAAAAGCGAGCCCAGTCAGGGAAAACGAGCCGGAAACGCCATTGAGTGCCCTGAGCAAAGATTTGAGTACTTGGGTGCAGAAAAACAGGCAATAAATTCTGCTTAGAGCAGAGCCCAGGCTCTGCTTACCCAATGTAGAGTGCCGACGCAAAGGGAACAGCCGACAAACCCAGTCAGGCCTTGGATTGGACTGGATTGAGGGCTAAATCCAGTTAGAGCTGCTAGATTTAGTAACAAATGGGAAAGCCGCAGACCCCAATCCAGTCCAAGCCAAAGGTATCCAAGAGTGTCCATTTGACGGCCACGCTGCCCTTCGGTTATTAAAAGAAGGCGTGTGTGGTTGAGCATCGTGTTTTCATCATGTTTCTGGAAGTGTCTTCTTCACTGACGATGTCGGCGGCAAGAAAGGGCTCATTTAATCCAGACTGGACGAACTCAAATATTTTGGAATATGAAAGTTGGATTAAGCCCATGCAAAATGATCCTCACAGTGCTCAATGCTCAATACCTTGTGTTGGAAAAGTCGGAATTTCAAAATATTTTGCTGGACACCCTGCTAGATACTACAAAATATGAAGAATGAAATGTTGGAAGTGCTCTATAAATTGAACCATTTGTAATGACTTTACAACACATTGAAATTCAGTGTTCAGTGTGTGGCTACCAAGCAATAAAACAATAGTTCACTTGAAAATTGTTTGTGCCCATATTAAATAGTCTGCTTTCAACATTCTATGCTTTGCACATTTAGCTACATGTGGCAAAAAAGTTATATTTCTGTCTGCCCTATATGCATCGATATTATAAATTGATATTATGCCTCAAATATTGATCTACAAAATAAGAATCTTGGCAGATGTGAAGAGACGAAGTTTTAAATTTCAAAATCGCTAATCCCCCCCCCCCCCCCAAAAAAAACAAAACAAAAAAAAACATTTGAAATGTTTGGGGCAGCCATGACATCAGTAAAGAAATAGCTTTCATTCTCTAAAAGATAAGCTGACAGCCTTGAGAGTGTTTTTGATTTCCTCTGATTTTATGTCAATGTAACTTTTTTCTTGTAGAGGCTATGTCAAGTTTTTTTTAAATAGTAGAGCATGCTACGAGCTTGCTGCGCATTAAAAATCAGTTTCTTTGTCAACTCGGTTGTGAATGTGTGCCACTTTGATCTGTTATTTCAATGTAAAATAATCGCTTGGTATGTGACCCCCACATTGATGACAATTAGTTCCCTTCCATGTCAATCACAATGATTTCTTTTAAGTTTACAGTGGTAGTGGCATTCATTCAGTCAACTTTGCAAGAAGTAACGGGAGCTGCATAATGGCACGAGTGCCATCCTGTGGCGGGGCATCACAAATGTAGTGTGCTGAAAAATCCGCTTGGCAGTCCACATGGCCAGCATCTCCACTGGAACTAACTCGCTTGAAAGTCTGTGTAATCTCATATTTTATTCTAGCTGGCAGTACAAGAAAAGCTACATATGCATGCTTATTACAGTGCAAACAGTAACAAACAGTAGGATCCCCTGCTAAAACTCTGGAGCATGCTTGTAGCCATAGCTTCACTCTGTCGGTAGCATGTTCACCTGCACTCGCTTGAACTGTCCTTGAAAGTGAATGTTAGTCGGTGTCCTTAAAAGGGGGTCCTTCATGACTGGTCATGCAACGGAAGCCGAAGCTCGCTCGCAACGTTTTGTGAGTCCTGGCATAGAATATTCACTGCCGGATTTATGTCTACGCTCAGTACTGAAACACTGGTGAGCAGAGCTCGGCTGCGAGTCAGTTTGCTGCTCAAGTTTGTGCTTGGCTCTCAATAAAAATGGGGGTGAATGTACCTGCCATGTTCTGCATTTGTCCCTAGTTTGTATTTGCATTCAAGAATCCAAGAATGTTCAAATTTAAACTTTTGTTTCATTACTAGGCTTTACCTTCCACAAATTAGGTGTCTCATTACACTACGTCTTAGATTTCACGAGCTTTTCCCTTTATGAGATTTCTTTTCATCTTTTCTGTAGCCAGTTGCAGCATCCAGTTCTTTTCCTAAATGCTTGCTAATCTTTTTGAGCTAGCTTGCTAATCTTTTTGAGCTACCAATGTACTCGTGTCTTGTCCTTCCCTCACCGCTTCCTTCTAACACAAACTCCCCAAATGCATCCCTATTCCTGGAAATTAGGGAGTCTTTGTCCCTTGACCGGTAAGAATAGAGGGACTTTTGTTCTCTAATTCTTGGGGAGGGTTACTAGTCATCAACACTCACGGTGCTCATTCCTGACCGGTAAGAATAGAGGGACTTTTGTTCCCTAATTCTTGGGGAGGGTTACTAGTCATCAACACTCACGGTGCTCATTCCTTCCCTCACGTCTACTTCTAACGAAGAGTACCTGAATGAACCCGCTTCCTGAGGATCTGGGGAGTCTGTCCCTTTGTCCTTATGGGTCCAGAGTCTTTTCATCCCCAAGTCACCAGGGTCAGTTGGGGGTCGTCAGCTTGTCCAGGGCTCATTCTGTTTTGTACTTGCTTTCTTACTAAAAGTCCCCAAATGAATTCCTCTTCCTGGAGATCCTGAAAGTCTTTGTTCCTTGATTCCTGAGAATCCAGAGTGTCTGCTTCATCACTAGGGATCTAGGGACTTTTCATTCCTGAACCTTTGGGGACAGTTTGCGAATGCCAACGTGTTTGGCACTTGCTTCGCAGCTTCTGCAGCAGACCATGACTCCGGGAACGGGCATTGTGCCGGGCCTTCCACCGCCACAACTGGTGGTTCCCCAGGGCCCCTTGGGTTCGGTGGTGCCACAGTCTCTTCCTGCCAGCACCGTGGCGCCGCCAGTCGGAGCCATGTCGGGACCACAGGGCTCGCCGGCTGTCACTCAGCCCCTCGCCAGCTCTGGACATGCTGCGACCGGCGCACCAGTGAGTGTCAGGAGCTGCAATCTTTTCTGAATGAGACGTTTCTGTTCCTGAAGGTTCTTTTGCTGTCCGCCGGTTCAGATTTTTTTGGTTCGTGCACGGCAAATGTGGTATGTGAGTAGCATGATTGAAACTCTGAGCTAGAGAGGGTAGGACGTGAAATGGGTTGGGGGATATCGCAGACGCAGTTAACAACTCTTCTTGTTGCAGCAGAGCTCTGGCAACACTTCTGATATGGTCTGTCTCTTGCGCTTGTGTGCTCGAAGCAGGGCCCAGCTGCCCCAACCACGACCCAGGCCCCCGAAACCTCCCAGGGGGACTCGGAACCCCAGACTGAGACCTCCAGGGACAACGGAAATAACCAGGAATCCCAAGAAATTGCCAAGGCTGCCGAAAGTGCGGCCACAGCACCGGACAGTACAAGGCCTTCTGACAGTTCGACGTCTTCGGACGGCTTGAGGTCCTCGGACGGCATGATGCCTTCGGACGGCATGATGCCTTCGGTCGGCTTGAGACCATCGGACGGGATGATGCCTTCCGATGGCTTGAGACCATTGGATGCTATGAGACCAGATGGAATGAGACCGGACGGTATGAGACCAGATGGTATGAGACCAGACGAAATAAGACCAGATGGGATGAGACCAGACGTGATGCGACCGGACATGATGCGACCGGACGGGATGCGACCGGACGGGATGCGACCGGACGGGATGCGACCGGACGGGATGCGACCGGAAGGAATGCGACCAGATGGTATGGGCATGAGACCGGATGGTATGAGGCCTGATATGATGAGACCAGATGGAATGAGACCAGACATGATGAGACCGGACGGGATGCGGCCAGATGGAATGCGGCCAGACATGATGAGACCCGACGGCATGAGACCGCTGGACAGGATGAGACCCTCGGACATGCTGGTCGGCGGGGACCAGATGGGAAGAGACATGTTGCGTCCTGGCGGTGAGTCCGTCGAATCGGTGACACACTTTGTAATTTCTGGCGAACGGATAACGGTGGGGCATTTCTCGCAAGCCTGGCCTCCCGCGTGCGCTCGCTGCTTTTCGCACGCACGCTGAAGCGTTGTCGAAGGTAGGAAGCGTACGCTGGAGGCGGGGCCGCCAGAGGACTTTACTGCCGTCTCAATCTGTCTGCGACTACAGTTAAATTGGCCACCATAGCCACGAGACCGCTCGGTTGTGCAGGAATGAACCAGGCGGGCGGCGGTTACGGACCGATGCCCGGACCGCCGCACTACGGGCCGGGCGGTCCGCTGGGACCCGGCGGACACCATGGGGGCGGCGGAGGGGGCTACATGGGCAACGGGCCCCACATGTCCCCCTTCGGACCCCAGCCCCCGCCGCACTACGGGATGCCCCCCGCAGGGTACAACCACCCGCCGCCCAATTTCATGCACCACGGAGGTCCGCAGATGCCGGGGGGCTACGGCGGTGGCATGCCGCCCAGGCCAATGCACGGTGAGTCGGAAGATTTGGTGTCTACACGTTGCTGGGCAGGCTGAGTTTCTTGGCGTGTCGTATGATACATAATATCATGCATTGTAAGACCTTCGGTGCATCAGTTTGGTGTTGCCCAAAAACTTTCCTCTGCAGCTTCTGTCTTGACAGAGATTTGCATTTTTGTTGGTGTCACCCTCCTAAACGTGTGGCTCGCCATTTCTTTTTTTTTTTTTCCTTTCCTTGCATGCTGGTATTATTCTTTTGTGCTCGGCCTTGGGAGAGGTTGTCACTGTCGTCTTCTATCGTGCGTTAGTAGACGCGTGCACTTGCGACACGTGTGATGTTGAAACTGGTATGAAAGAAATGCAGTGTAATCTTAGGAAGGTTGCCTTTGATTCGTAGGAGGCTCATGCTATTTCTGCCATGGGCATGGCTCGTGAAAGATTGAACAACTGACTGCCAATTTATTGTGGACCGGCGCTATATTTTACAGTCATCATAATATGTGTTGTGCCTACTGCATGTAGGTGTCAGTCCTAAAATAAAGGACTTCTGTCCCGTAACAATTTTATATGTCTTATAAATTTGTCGCAAGCTTGTAGTGGGCATTAGTTGAAAATAAGCTCTTCCTTAAATTTTGTGTGTGTGGCCCAGCATGCCATGAACTGGTCTTTTGTTGTGCCGTGTACTTAACCTGGGAGGTAAGTTTTTATTTGTCTGAATCTATAAACTGCGCTACATTCAAACATGCCTAAAGTAATGAGTGAGGGAACAAAGTCTAAATAAAGGAGATAAAAGAAAGCCAGGTTATATTCTGACTTTCTTAATTTTTGGTGGAATTTGGTGGCTGTGCTTCATGGCCAAGACTAGCGGTAGTACAATTGGATACGCTCGGTCATGGATGTCGTGACCATCTTCAGCTGCTGACAGTTTTTTTTTTTTTCCAGCGGCAGAAAGAATAACATTTTCTGTCTTTAGATTGCTGTAATGAATTATGCTTGGTTCAGTGGTCGAGTTTTGTGTTCAGTGTATATCCGTGTGGCAGTTCAAATTACCGTATTTACTCGCATATTGAGCACTTTTTTTTCCCAAAAAATTGACAGATATTTGGGGGGTGCGTTCATTACGCTGGGTAACATTTTTGCAATTATGTACTTCACGCTGATGTAATTTTAGGTTCCAATATCGTACTGTGGCACGTCGCCACTGACGGAGGCACACCCACAGCCGGTCGTGGGTGCGTTACAGTAACCATGCTCTATAAGTTGCAAATCTTTTTAGGGCGCTTTTGGTGTGCCTTTTGCCAAAGAAAAAGCACCCTACAAGGCTAACTCAGCAGGGAGGGCGATGTGATTGTTCTTAGGCCTAACCACTTTCACGATTTCACGGTCCGAAAGTGGATCACAAACGACTTTCTGCAATTTGGATTTCAGAAAGAACAGTGTAGGAGATGTAGGCGGGACGCTACAATCCCTACAACACTACTCGTAAGGCGATATCCCGAATGGACGGCCGTATTTTGGAAAAAAGAGGTCGAGATTGAACCAGGCCGACAAGGCGCGGGACCGTGAAGATACCTAGTTTCCTCCTCTCTTCGCTTCGCTCCCTCAAGGCGGCTAGACAGAGAAAACGCGAGTCCGTTCCCTCTCCTTCTCGGAGAAACATGACATGGACATTTCTGTCAAATGCACCTCCTTTCCTGGAAAAATATAGTCATCCGTTCCAGATATCGCTGTATGAGTGATGTTTTGGTGTTTGTAGCACCCCGTTGCACCCTTTTGCCGCGTGTTTTGTGGAATCCAGATTTCGGTTCAGCATTCCTTTAAAGGACACATGCAAAGGAAAAAAACATTTTTTTAGACAGCTTAGATGGAAAAAGGATGTCATAAAACGATTTTACAACAAAGAAAAAAAATTTTTAGAGAGATATTTAGGGCGCTATACGAATTTGTAGTTGGCACTCGCGGGAGCCGCCACTAATCACGTGGTAGGCCCGCGCGCCGCCGCGCTGCGTCGCCGCCACACGCTGAGCGTTGTGCGAACGCCGCTTCAACGCGTTTTTCCACGCTGCCGTCGCCGCCGCCGCACAAGTTCGTCTGCTTCGGGGCGCCGCTGCCGTTGTCTGACTGGCGCACAGGTCTACCACGTCTGCTTGCGCTTTTTCAGGAGTTTCCTTTGGGCTCTAAAAGTTACTTATTCATCTTAGATTTTTGTTATACTTCAAACAAAGATGAATAAGTTACTTTTAGAGGCCATAGGAAGCTTCCAAAAAAGCGCAAGCACCATGTGACAAATATGGGCCCGTCAAGGGCCACTTTTCCGCGGCGCCCGCCGGCGCCAACTACAAATTCGTATAGCGCCGTAAATATAGCTCTAAATATTTTTTCTTGGTTGTAAAATTGTTTTATGATAACCTTTTTTCATCTAAGCTGTTTTAAAAAAATGTTTTAGAGCGCAGCTCTTATGCGCCCGTTTCCGGCTTGAGTGGCGTCGCCGTCGCCGTAACCAAGGTCATCCCAAGGTCACGTGACCCCTCCCAAGGTCACCTCAAGGTAACGTGACCCCCAAGGTGACCTCCACGTGACCCCTCCCAAGGTCACGTGACCCCCAAGGTGACCCCCACGTGACACCCCGAGGTCACGTGACCCCCCTCCCCGAAGTCACGTGACATCCCCCCCCCCCCCCCCCCCCGGAGCATATTAAAGAATGAGGGGAGGAGAAGGAGGAGGGGTCTACCCTCCCCTCAGTACCCTTCCCTCCTCCTCCTCAAGAGCTGCACTCCAATTCGGCGTTACAGGGCTTTCACTTTTTTTTCCTTTACATGTGTCCTTTAATGCGTCCGGTGGGTGATGCATGTCCGAGGCTGGGCAATTCTTTGACTCCAGCTTCATTAGGTGTGCGCACCGTTCGGTTTCACCGTTGATCACTTCCGCAACTATGCACTTGCAGCCACTACGAGAGCGTGTATTGCTATGCTATGCTTGGATTGGCTTGGCTTGGCCTGGCCGCTTGGGGGCAAAAGAAAATTAGATTGGTCGACTTGGTGGCTAGCTGAGTTAGACGCAGTTCGAAACTCGTGGAGACGGAAATCGGAGGTGCATTCATTCCGGGAGGGAAAAAAAAAATACTCAAAATATTGATGCTCGTTGGGGGGAGAGGGGAGTTTGTTTATTCTGCGTGTGCATTCATTATGCGAGTAAATACGGTGCCTCTTGGGACATTTAGTTAATTTAGCCAACTGGTAAGTGTTCATTCATGAGCATTATTTTTCTCTAGCATAAATTTTGTCAGCTTTTTGAAGACGACATATCGAGGTAGCGCCCACCCCACTTTCACTGAAAACTGGAATAATCTAGTCATCGGTGCTTGTCCGGTCAAATCGGGCAATTAAAGGGCAACTCCGCTTCATTTTTGATATTTAGAAAACTATGCAGCCCTCTACAGTATCGTATAGGAAGACCCCATGTCAAATATTACGATCTAATTCCGTTTATATATTTAATAAACTGGCCAGCAAACCTTCAAGCGAGCCAAGTCGCCGAAATCTGCCAACTCTAGCGTGCGGCGCGAGGCGCAATCATCAGCGCAGTCAATGCCACGGAGTTGGAGCAGCTGACATTGAGCCACTACGTCAGAGGCATGACTACGTCATTCTCACGTTTTGCTTGTTCTTACTGCTCAGAGCGAAATTGAACGATGACGTCATGAGTTTCTCCTCCCGGTGTTGGCTGACCGGGCGTTCACGTGATCACCGTAACACGGATGCACTAGTTTACGTTGCCCTGCGCGCTTATCGGTCTGTTTCTCCGCTCCTCTTTTCCTCTTTCGTCTTCTCCCCTTCCCCTCTCCCCCGGGCCATCACCGTCCACGCCATGCGAAGCGACCTGCCCGCGTCCAATAAAAAAAAAAGAAGAGAGAAAAGACCTGTTCGCGTTGCGTGTCCTGTTTCTCGCTCCCTCCCGAACGTCACAAGACCACGTGGTTCGACGTGACGTGGACATGACTCTGACGACCCGAGACCAACGTTGTTTGACGCAACCGAAGTTTCGGTTTCGGTATCGGCTGATGTTTAAATTAGGATTACACAAATAATATTCCACATTTCGCGCATCCGAAGACGTAGAGTTTTTTTAGTAGTGCTTTGTGAATTTGAATGGACATGAAAGCCTAAATTTTTCGGAATTGAGCGGAGTTGCCCTTTAACGTATAATTTGCAGAATTTCCAAGTTTGGAAAACATTAATAATGGGTGCTTGAACAAAGTGGGCGCTTTCACAGTGTTTTACGGTAATTAAGCAGGCAAACTGGTTGTTAATCGACATGCTGAAACCTGAGGACGGAGGCCTAAAGGACAAAACACAACGTCTCAAGTTTCAGACGCTATGTTTTGTCCTTGTCTTTACCTCCATCTCGGGTGTGCCAGCTTATGTATTTTAAACAATTCTTCTTTCTACCATTCCGCTAAGCATAGTTTCTGTAATCTGTTCTATTCCACGTGTTTTTATTAAATTGGTATTCGTGATCCTTATTATATAAAACATTCAAAATGTGCAAAAGGCCATTTAGCGCATCCACAGTATTTTCTTTAATGCGAGCTCAATGTTATTTTTTAAAGCTTGCTTTCCTTCTTATCTGTCCTTTCTATTATAAATTTTCATTTTGCCTCACTCTTTGTAAGCATTAAAAAGTTGGAACGTATAGTTTTGTGAATTTATTTACATTAAAACGAGTGAAGTCACATTCCTCAAAACCTGCTTCATATGTAGACTTTTGTGCATGTTCTTAATGGATTTTTGCGCTCTTTCGTAGGCGATGATACCGCTGGTAAGTGTTAATAAACCGACATTTTATTTGTTTTGACGTTCGCTCACCTTGTAGTACTTGGCGGCTTTTTCGGATTTGGTCATGATATAACAGAATTGCACCACCTCACCTGGAGATCTCTGTATTACCGTAGTATTTTGAGAGATAGCCCACCTAAAATCTAAAGCAAATTGCGTGAAAATAAGGGGAAAGCTAACTTTCGGTGTGACATAGAGAAAAGTTGAAAACGTGACTGTTATAGATTTTGTGACTTGCGAAAGTTGTGTTCGCAGGGAGGGGCAGTGAACCAAAGATGACTTTCCTTCCCCATCAGCAATGTTCACTCGTCCCCCGCCGTGCTTAAGTAGCACTGTTTTTGCCGAGGCCACCGTTGGCCAGGTCCCTGTAATTACCAGAAGTGTGCCATCTTTCGGTGTTTCTGAGCTAATTGTTCTAAAAATAGAGGGCGAGCTATCTTTCGGGGTTGGGGCATTCCTTTGGATATTACGGTGATTAAATCTGCCACCAATTGGAGGATCTCGTGCTTATCTCATAGCATCATGTACTTATTTTTTGGCTATAAGGTATCCTCGAATATATATGTGCGTATTTAAAGTGTGAAAAACTTTTTAACAGAGTTCCCAATTTGAAAAATTTGTCCGACCATACATTTGTGCATTTTCTCCCTACATTTACTAGTGAAATTAATGTCGCATGACCCATACAACAATTCAGTTTTTGCGCTAAATTTAGCCAGAAAATTGATGTCGTGTGACCAGATTCCTTACAAAATTTAGCAAGGAATCTGGATTGGTACTTAGATCACGTGATGCCGCTTAATGTGACTTCAATTTCTCCACTAAATTTAGCTAGGGAATTGATAGAAGTATAGGTTCTTCTTCACTCCCAAAACAGTTGTTTAATGTCTATTAAACAAATTGGAACAATCAGACTTTAATTACTGTATTTTATGTACTATAAAACTTTTAAAAAAAATTGCTGCCGATTAAAATTTTTTTTTTTTTTTTCATTATACAGAAAAAAGTTGTGGTTGTTTTTGGGCACCAAAAAAGAGAAGCCATTTTTATTATTAATATTAAACTAAATAAACAAATTAGACCTATGCCAATAAGCCAGTCTTAATTCCTAGCTTGCCAACCTCATTGACCCTCGTTGCCACCACCCTTCCAGGCTACGACCCCATGGGCGACGAAGGGCAGTACTACGACGACTACGACATGGGTAAGCTTTCCTAGATGGCGCCTCACGCTAGCCCTAGATAAAGCCCCTCTATCCTGGGAAAAGTGGCGCCATTCATTGTTGTAGAAATGCGCGAGGCACGTGCCGCGCGCCACTTTTGGGAAATTCATGGTGTCTGAAATCTAGCTCAGTGCTGCGCTGTACCGCCATGATCTTCCCAAGGTTTGCACGTGCTTGTGCATCTACGAACCTTGCGCTACTTTTGAAACATGAAGGGGCTTTAGCCCTAGAGCCACGAAATAGGCTACACTTCAGAGTGACGACACGTGAGCCTTCTTGTTGCTTTACCGTAAAATCGTGTCAGTTATCTGAAGCCCTATCTGAAATCGTAGGAGGCTGCTGTTCCGTTCTCCAGAAAGGCTAAAAAAATACATGACAGAGCGAAACGACGTTGCGTGAGGTTACTGACACCGTATCTAAATCCTAGGAAGTTGTATTCCAGAAATGTAAGTGTTGCCACCAGTCCCTTTGAAAAATTCAGTGTGATTTGGTGGCTCAAATATAGGTTTAAATTTGTGTGTGCTAATAACGGTTAATATTTAGCACCTATTAGTCAATAGTAGATGTACCAAAGTTACGGTGTTCTTCACCGTACAGTTATTTCTCTTATTTGTTTCAGTTTCGGTGGTGTCGAGAAACTACCACTTGTATCGAAGCGCTTAGTTGAGTAAAACTCGATAAAATTTCCTACATTTTATTGTCATGAGCTGTATTGGGCGTGCCGAAGCTGAGGTTACTTCAAGCAACAATACTGCGAACTAAAGTGAATGCTCAGGCTCAGCATCTGTTTCTGTCTTCAAATTCTTCCTTCTCCAGCCATCAAAAGTCTGCCATTAGCATGTGCGGGCGATACACACTTGGGTGATGATAGTCATCGAAGTGGCCAGACCAAATTTCGGAAAGGGTTCATTGCGCCCGTCCCGCACTTTGCAACTAAGTGTCAGCACCTATGAGACGAATGGGGGGTCGATACTTCGGAGCGTAGGCTATTTGGTGGCTCCAGCTAGCCCCGGCGCGAGAGTCTGTTGAAGTGCATGATGCATTGCCTCTTCTTGTCCTTCTCTGAAGATGGAGGACCCAGGCCTGACTACGGGAGCTTTTTCATTGACTCGGACGCTGGGCCTTGCGAACCCCGCGCCCCTGGTAATGACGCTTTTCCGCGGCGCGGTTCTCGGGCTGGGCATTTTAGGAGGGGCGTCGCGGTTGTTTGACGTCTTGCGTCTGCGAACCCAAGGCCCCGTTCACACTGCTCGTACATCGTTCAAAAGCCGCAGTGTTCGCTCCAGACACGACATGTTCGTACGCTTGTACCCGTGTCCCACTAGAGCAACATACAGAAACAAAAGACACAGACAAGCCTCAAACCAGATTCTTTCACGATTTGAGACGCTTTGTAGAGTAACGGAGGCTATGCTCAAACACGAGCATCATGCGCGCGAGGGTATCTTTGGCAGGCTTGCAATCGCTCGCGCTTACTTCGCGAGCACCGAACGACTTAACGCCTGCCAAAGGTATCATCACGAGCATGCTGCATGGGTTTCAGGCTTATCGCTGTCTTTTGTCTCTCTCTGTCACTCTAGTGGGACGCGGGCATTGGAACACTTGTCAAGACAGTTTTTGTGCGACCAGCGTGACCGTCATTTGAGGAAGGAACATGCCTCGGACAGTGTTTGCAGATCGTCTTTTGTACGACGTAGTATTAGCGGTGTGACGGCGGCCCAAGGGGACCATGCAAAAACTACCTTTAGCGGTTTGGCTGCACGGTTTGTGTTGCGTCTCCCGGCTCAGATGCCGAGAAAACCATAAAACAGCTACATGGGTACCTTTGGATTGACTAGCTAGCTTTTGTGAGGGCAGATTATAAATTGACTTTTGTCTGTGCGCACCGGGTTATACTCTAGGAGTGCTGGTGTAGCTAAAGATACCCTTTATTCCCACGACCGAAACCTCTTACGCACGCAACGTGCTGGGTGACAGCGAAAACGCCATCTTTCCAAAACAAATTGAAAAAGAATAAGGTATTTACTTCCGTTACTCTTTCTGGCAGTCCACGTTCGGAGAACTTGCAATTGGATGCATAATTAATGTCAACTATGCTTTGCAGTTTCCAAAGAGAGACGTGGAGGTTTTGTAGTAACGTGTGAGGCTGACTCTTCGTCTTGAGCGGGCGCAGTAGCTAAGGGCACACACTAGATAGGGCAGTTAGCACATTTTAAGTCTTACTTGAGGGATCTTTTTTGTTGTTTTGAATTGTTCTTGTATAGCTTATATTTGATGTAATCAGGCAGGGTGAAAAGTGTTTTAGTATTGTACACAAGGTGGGGTTCCACAGCTGAAAAGCAAACTGTTTCTGTGGTTATTTCTAATCAAACTTGCATGAAAAAAAAAGAAAAGTTTGCCAAGAGAAGTTGTTAAGAGCCAGGGAGCTTTACAGCTTTTCTAGATAAAGGCCGACTGCAAAATCAGCAAAGCTGAAGATCATTTTCTCTCACGGTGTTGCTTCATGGGAAAGGTTTGCTGGGGACAAAGGCAATGTTTTGATGACTTCACGGGGTATGCCTGAAACTAGCTCGGTTGCCTGCAACTATTGGAGAATGCTGGTGCTCTTTTCCTAGAGCTTTAGTCCAGTTTGAAGCGATCCTAATTTGAAGCAGGTTAATTCTGGTGGCCTCACGATAGAGTGTACGACGTTGGGTGTTGCCTCCCTCATGATCATTTATTCTGAATAAGCAATCATAGTCAAAATGCCAAAACAAAAAAAAAAAATAGAATTGGAATACTCAAAATTAAGAAAGCAGAGAATTGCAGCATCTGGGGAAATAAAAGGGAGTAATAATTAAACTATAAAGTAAAGGTACAATTGCAACATTAACTGAAAAGGTATTCGCTCTTTCTCACGCGAGTTGAAACGTGGTGGCGCCAGTGTGCAAATAGCCCCCAACCCGTTGTGATCTAGGCGGCGGGTTTCGCTGTATTTGCAAAATGAAATATACACGACATCATCTGGAAACGTCCACTTATAGCACTGTCAGTCTTGATTCTCTCATCATAATGGTGAGTGAGAAAGGGGGGAATATGTGTGAACCGGAAGTGTGCCGGGGCTATGCGGAAGATGGCGCCACCGAGTTTGTTGCCAAACAAAAAAAGGGCGAATACAGAAGCTCATTGCTACTAGAAAGTTGCCGTATTTTGCGGACTAGTTCGTGCATGGTGTGTAGTCCGCAGGGGGCAAATTTTAGTTGAAAAAGCTTTTCCTCTCATAGTCCGCACCTGATGCATAGTCCTCGTCTGCTCGAAATATTGTGCCTCGTCTGCTCGAAATATTCTCATACACAGCACAACTTGAAAAATGCCTGCTTTACTTGCTCACAAAAAAAGCTAGCGTCGTACATAAATCCTCCTTAACGTGTTTCGTCATTTTCAAAATCTATAGCCACTCTTCGGAATAAACAATCTAGAAAAAAAATCCTTGTAAAGCCTGCATGCGTAGATAGTCTGCGCTGCATAAAATTTGTAAATAATGTAACGGAAATTATAACAGAATTGCAACAATAAAAATTAACATACAGTGACAATGCCAAAGAAAAAACAGTTCAGACAATCTTATGAATAAAAATAGGGTCTAACAGTTGCAATTCACCTTAGAAGGATAAACATAAATTGGTAAAAAATTGAAGAAAAATTGCACAGGTAAAAAGATGGTTTGAAAGGCTAGACATCTGCAACCCCAACACGTAAGTTGGGAGAGGCTCCGCAAGAGCGATGCCATGGACCCACGTAGTGCCCGCAAGACGCCGCCGAGGATGGCGGACGGAACTTTGCGGAGTATGCTTTGCACGGGACGAGGAGAGAGAGCGAAGAATGGAAGGTGGGGGCATCCAGGGTCGTGCTCCTCCCCTCGTCGGGGGCTGGGGTAGTGGTGGTGGCGAGGGCACTGAGCTGCCTTGGTGCAGGGCCAGGCCTGCCCGACGTGAGCCAACCGCCCCCCGGCTTTGTGCCTCTCGACTCGCAAGGCTTTCCCCCGCCGGACCTGCCGGAGGCCATGGAATGCCTGGTGCCCACCATGCCCTACTTCGAGCTGCCGGCGGGACTCATCGTGCCCCTGGTGAAGGTGTGTGCCTCTCTCACTACCTCTGCAGACTCGTTCGGACTCGCCGTGGGATTGAGAGCGAACTCACTGTGTGGGTGGAGGTTGTCCGAGTTTGGCAAACTCACATTCTCTCACTGTTGGATTCTAAGTGACCTTTAGTTTGCCTTAGTCGCTCAGACTTGCCGTGCGATTGTTACTAAAGTTCAGCACCAGCAAGCTCACTCGTGGCTTGGTTGGCAAATTTGAGTTCAGCACGCTCATTACTGCACGAATGTGGTTGAAGTTGAGTTTGTCAAATCGCTCATTTGCCGCACGGTTGGTGAATGAAATCGAGTTTGGCAAACTCAGTCACGCTCGCTGCTGCACGATAGTGATTGAAGCTTAGTTTGGCAACTCGCTCACAGACACGTTCATACTCGCCGTGTGATTACGAGGGTTAGTTACACGTCACTGGCTTACGGTGCAGCTGGAGGACAGCGAGTACAAGGCGTTGGACCCCAAGGCCCTGCGTCTGCCGCCGCCAGCTCCCCCCAGCGACGCCCTGATGCAGGCCGTCGAGATGTTCTACAGTCCACCGTCCCACGAACGCCCACGCAACAGGTGAGCAGAGGGACCACGTAGCACACTGCCTTCTGCTAATCAGCCAACTCCTGTTTCATGCACTTGATGCAATGTAGCCGAGGTTACTATACTTCATTTCACCTTAGGTCCGAGCGCGGACAATGTTATGAGCCGAAGGGCCAATGAAACAGCACAATAAGTGCAACGTCATGGCGTGCTCTCTAGGCTTGATAGGACTAGCCAGCGGAGGAGCGCGCACAGAGAGACAGCGAATACCGGCTAGTCCTATCAACTGCAGAGGGCACGCCATGTTGTTGTGCCTCTTTCGCTGTCTGATTGACCCTTCTGCTCATAACATCGGCCATGCTCGCACTTAGAGTGAAACCAAGTATAGTGCTGTTTGGCTGCCCTAGAGTCACTAATTAAAAGCTACGCTTAGACTGAGTGAAGACTCCGGGCAGCGTACCTAAAGCTCTGAGGGCGCATTTTGGAATCGTAACGATCGGTGATTGTGCCTGCCCTGCACCAAACACCAAGACGCCGGCGCCTACGAGAAAATTTGGGAGTGGAGTGCCAATACGCTTATTTAATGGTTCTAGGCTGCCCATAGGAGCAGTAACTTTCTCTAGCCATCCTCTGGTAGTGGTACCCACGTTAGTAGTGACCTTGGACAGATTTAGAAGGTCAGGATGCCCCGATCCAACTCTTCCTAGACAACGAGGCGATAGGGCTGGATTTTCTACGTCGCCTACCAAAGACCTGCACGGGGCATGGGTTGTACACGAGTGCTGCGTTGGTGCAAGACTTGTGCTGTAGGCATTACAAGTAATCAAATTGCTCGTAATCAATTTCTGCTTGGTGTAATTTTGTGATCATTCGGTTACATTTATTAGGGGCGAAGCTCCTCAGAGGCTAGCCATGTCCGTATGTCCGTCCGCCGTCGGGTGCACGTGCGTAGGGCAAAAAAACAACTACCGCATCTCCACGGGGTGAATGATGTTGATTGGGGCGAAGCTCTGATGGTGCTTGTCTGCGTAGACGGTGAGCCGCAGCATGCCGAGCCTTTCGTTCGCTTTCATCCACGTCAGAAAGAGAATATGGGGTATGGAACGTGGTTATATTCGCATTTGAGCATTTGACCGCCGCGTGGCATGGATGAAAACGAACGAAAGGCTCGGCATGCTGTGACTCAGCGTCTACGCAGACAAGCACCACCAGAGCTTCGCTCCAATCAACATCATTCACCACGTGGAGATGCATTTTTTTTTTTTTTTTTTTTTTTTTTTAGGGAGTATTTTTTAGAGCGATCTACTTTTGGAAGTACTAAGATAGTGCATTACCGTTTTTTCCCTCCCCTTTCTAACGGTGCCCTTTGTACGCGTTTCCTACAAAGAAATCCTCGAACCTAATCTCTGACAGTGGGATGGTTTACCAAAATAGGTTGATTAAGATGATGAGTAGCTTACAATTGGGTGAGTCTAATCCAATAATGGAGAGTACAGAAGACCCTTCCTAAAGCCTTCAGAAAGATCTGTCGTTTTGAAAACTTAGAGTGATCCGAAAGGTAACGGTTACCTCTCGGAGTAACGGCCAAATACTTTTCCTTTCGAGTGATCGAGTAATCTACCTGAAAGTCTCTACTGGCAACGAGGAAAAGGTTATGTTGATGGCAGACGGGGGTTCACTCTTTGGACTGTAGAATTTGTTCCCGACCGATTACGAGCAGGTTCATGGCGTCAAACGAATGCCTTGGAAGATTCCTCCGGCGCCCGCGCAGCAGCATGAAACAAATGCTCGGCATACTCTGTTTTTTCTGCCCGCTCGACCTGCAAGCCTGCCTCCCACCGACGTCGCAGCACTGAAAAGCGCAGCTGTATTCGAATGTTGGTTTTGGCGTAATTTTCCTTAGCTGATTTCACAATAACTATTTATTTATTTTCTTGCAAATACCCTAAGGGGCCCCAAGGGGCATTACAGAGGGTGGGTGGTTAGCGCGAGGCGAAACTTGGTGTTATCAGTGAGGGCGACGATGCTGTCGGAAGGCCATCCCAGTCGACATTGGTAGTGGGTGGAAGAGAATGTTGGAATGCTGTAGAAGTAGTCTTGGGCCGGGAAACATTGCCTGAGTGGTCGAGTCTTGCTGATATATAACTGGGAGGGCTAAGAAGGGACTCTTTAAAGGTGCAGAATAATATATTTTATGAAGAAGGCAAAGCCGGGAAAATTTTACGACTCGAGGAAAAGTCAGGAAGGGTTAGTTGTGATTTAATTGCAATAACACTCAAAAACAGGAGTAGTTGGAAAAAATAAAGCGAGCAGCACGATTTTGAACCGCTTTATTTGCATTAGTTAGGCCAAATAGTGAGGGTGCCATGTAGATGCATATTCTAGTTTAAGACGAACAAGACTGATGTAAAAAAGTCATTTTAGGGGAGAAGGGACAGATTTAAGATTACGCCGGATATAACCAAGTGATTGATTCGCTGAGGAAATTTTTTGTATCAATATGAACATTCAGGATAGGTCAGGGGAAAGTGACAAAGTAGTCCGAGAGCTAAGATCTAAGAGTTTATTGTGTCATTGTCTCCCTTATGAAACAACCATATTTTATCGTTCATCGGCACTGATTTTGGTGGCTTAATATAAATAAACCAATGAAGTGCTTTGTGGTCGCTAATGCCATCTAGAGGAGACAGAGAATTAATGAAAGATGGGTCAATGGGAAGTACTAAATCAAGTAGATGAGAGGTAATGTCGGTGACTCTGGTAGGAAAAGAAACTAACTGGGTTAGATTGAAGGAAAAACACGGGTCTACGAAACTGCTGCTAATATTCACGCCGCCCAAACAAGTGAAAGCCAATGCTTTCTGGTTTGTGCCTGATAGGTTAAAATCATCGAAAAGAAAAATAGGTTTACCAGTCTGATGCAATGCCAGCATGGACAAGTCATCGCGAAGAAGATAATTAAAATTAGGTGAAGTGCCAGGAGGACAATAACACGCCCCAATCAAAAACAATCTAAAATAACTATTCACGAGAACACAAAAAATCTCTAGAGCGCTGGAAGCTAACACCCTAACTTGAAATACTTTTGTTAACAGCGACAAGAACGTCGCCTCGGCGGACCACTATCACACCAACGCACGTGAAAATGTGGATGATCCGGCATTATTTCACTATCATCCATATCAGAATGAAGCCACGTTTCTGACTTTAGAGCGAAATCAGCGTCACGTGAAGAAATCAAAGATGACGAATTGTCACGCTTGGGCAAGATGCTACGTGTATTTGCATATAACACACTAATTATGCTCTGCAATCTGGTTTCATCAGATGGAGCATGCCCCACGTGCCCCCTATTTCATTAGCTCTTTTACAGCCTCTGTTAAGCTATCACATATGAATGTCTTGGGGTCAGTGTGAAGCTTATCCAGCTGAAGCTTGAAAGGCAAAGTTGCTGCATGGCAAAAGTGACGAGGTTGTGGCACGTAATACGAGCATTTTTACAAAAGTTTTCTGAAACTGAAAACAACCTTCCTTTGTGGCAAAAACTACTCTGCAGTAACTGGTTTTAGTTCTGAAAGAATAAAAACAAGTTGCAATAGGCTGATCTCTTCCCTCTTAAAATGTACCAATTCTATGGGCTCGCTCAATATCAGAACTTGCTAAGACGATGGGAACGGTTTTCTTTAAGCACTTTTTGTTCCGATGATGGCCATGGCCATCATCATCGTCGACTTATAATCGAACCAAAGCATTCCATCGCCGGCAAAAACGAAACAACCGTGATATCATGAACACCTCGGCTTGTTACGAGTTCAGCCGGCTGTACCTCTAGGATTGCACTATTCTGTGCACTCATTTTACAAATTAATTATTTTTTTATTTGCACAAACGAGTATTATTCATAGCGATTCTCAAATTAACCCGAATATGTATATGGCGGTGAACAGCGCGCGGTGCCCCGACTCCCGGGGGGGGGGGGGGCAGGGGTGCGGTGGCGGCACTTCTTGTAAGAGCCACTCCGGAGGTTGCTGGAACAGCCTCACGTGGCTCACTCACCCCGCGGCTTCTCTTCGCAGTTTTTCGCACGATTCACGGCTGCACATCATTTGATCGAGTGGTGAGATCATGCTGGAGTGCTAACTATGTTTTTTTTTTGTATTGACGTGCATGATTTGGCAGTTTAGGTTTTCGGTGCTCGTTTATGGCCATTCTTCACTCAGAAGCAACCAACAACTACGCTGTTAGACACGAGTTCGACCTGTCGGAGCGGGTGATGCTCTAGTGGAGTCTGCAGTGGCGCGGGATCTAAAACTGTGACGGCGAACGAAGAAGCTGCCATAGGCCAAAGTCTGGATAGGTGGGGGTGCTTTCCGGAGTTGGAGGTCAGGCTGGCGACGTAAGCCGCAAAAGTGTGCAATCGGTCCCTAACCATGACAGCCAACGCGATTGCCGAGCAAGCGCGGAAGATGCGGTTGATCCTGTCGTTTGCGAAGTGCGAGATTTCGTTGGACGACGCCGACGACCTGCTTCGAGAATGTAGCAGTGATGACGACGCGACTGACATCACCAGTGCGGACAAGTCGTAGTCAAGTCGCGGACGGAGTGAGAACGACTGTGAGCAGCTTAGATGTCCCGCCTCCAGCGTGAACTTCCTAGTTTTGATAACACCTGGGCATCTCATGCACCTCGCACGTGCGTGCGCAGCGAATGTACGCCAGAAGGCATCCAAAGCGCACGATTGCCTTGCTAGGACGCCTGGAGTGCAACTCCGACAGGCCTGTTTAGCGTCCCATTCCGGCAACACACTGAAAGTGGTCCCGGAGTTGCAACGAACGGGTTCACAAAAGTTGGAGTGTTATTCCATCGGATGTCGCGATCCTGGCGGTTGGTTGTAAAAGGCCAGTGAAAAGCGTGAGAGGAAGCGAGCCATGGACTGCAGGCCAAAAAGTGACCTGCGGCAGAACAGGCGCTTGCCAAATATGAGCCACCGCTGCTGTGACACTGCCGAGTTTGCGGCCAACGACAGCGTGACATGTTCATGACGTCCTCGGGCGGAAATCGAGGGACCTCTTTTTGAGGCTTGGTAAACACACCAGTGGGAGACGTCTCAAGTGGTGTACTTGTTTATAAGGCACGGATTCCTCGGAAACAAACAAAACACACGTTTATTTTACTTTGAGAGCCGCCTTGAATGCGCTTGTCCATGCAGCGAGGGCTGGGAGCAGCTGGGCCTGTACGAGTTCTTCAAGGCCAAGAGCCAGGTGGTGCGGACCAAGCCCAGCCAGGACTCTGACGACGGGGGAGAGGAGGAGGACCGCAAGGGGGACAAGGGACCCAAGGACGAGGACCGGCCGCTCAGGGAGGACCCCAACCGACGCCGCTACCGGGAGAGCAAGAGGTGCTCCCTCTCCTTCTCTCCCTCCTGCCTCCTCTTCCTTTTTTCTTTGTTCTTTATTCGAGGAAAACCCGCAGCGCCTCTGGGGCATTATTGTGGAGGTGTGGGCGATGCATTTTAAAACAAAAAGGCATTTTCGCAGCAATCATCATCAGTACCGGAGCCAAATTAAGAAATTTCGAATCCCTGGTGACATGATTCTAAGTCATGTGACGTCATTTTCCCCGCTAACTTTAGCGGGGAATTGAATTGGTGTTGAAGTCACGTGACGTCAGTTTGCCCGCTACATTTAGCAAGGTTATGCTGATGTTGCGAAACACGGAAACAGGCGCCTAAGAGCTGCGTCTAAAAAAAGTTCATGAAGTTGCACCGTGAAAGTCACATTAAGAATTGCATGACCTTTTTATACAGCAAGTTCTGCTCTCCCATGTGATTGGGTAGTGGAGTAGAATAAAAACAAAAGAAAGCAATCTTTGGTAGCGGAGTCGGTTTGGGAAACATGATCAGTTCAACGATAAAGGAAACCAAAACTAAAACACTAATACGTATGAGGCGGTTAGCACTAAAGAGGCAGTGGAAGCCTACTATTTGGCCATATGATCGCGACTTTTCCAGTACACTGCACAATTCGAATTACCGTATGTACTCGAGTAATAGCCACGCTGTTTATGAGGAAAACCTGAGGGTTCGCTTTTCCGTAGAGCACGCAGATTGCCAATCACTGCGATTGACAGCATGATTCCAGCTGTTTACAGGACAGAGATAACGTTTTCGTGCGAAGATAGCATCTGTATAGATTGCATTTGTATGGAGAATCCTGTTGTCGATCTGGTTATTCGCTATGTCATTTATGCGCAATGCAATGATTGGCTGTATATGTGTTCTCTGGGGAAGCAGACGCAAAGGCCTTGTTCATAAATAGTCTGGCTTTTACTCGAGTAAATATGGTACGTAATAGCTTTTTTTCTAGAACAGTCAACCTAAAATTCCTACCTACTTTCGTCTCCTCTTTGCATGTGCCTTTTAATGCGCTGAATTGCCTTCTTACCTTCCAAGATTGTCGGCAGAGCGTCGGGTTCAAGCGAGCCTTCTTCAGAATTAAACCCATACATACATTTTTTCATATGCACCGTCCGAAACACTTTTTAAACAAAATACGGTGTACTTGATCAAACTCGTGTGTGCATAGCGGGAACCCATTCCTTTAAAATCTCGGTGTCAGAGTGAAAAGGGTGGTAAGTGGCAAGAACAACTGCGGCGTGCGCTGTTCGTGCAAGCCGACGGCTACACATGAGCGCGGCATAGTGCATGAGTCACTTGCTTTAGTGCCATGAGAATTCCGCAAACTCGTGAACAAACAAGAGAACAATTAAAACGTCAGGCGATTGAGTTAATGGCCCGACCGGTCAACGGATAAAAGCAATCGCTATGCAGCAGCAGAATCACAACGGCTCGAAAAGTAAGTAGAGCAGCCTCGAGGGAAGCGCGGCCAGCCGGGTCGGGGTCCCCCCGCCGGACTTTTCGTGAACTTGGCTGACGGGCTTCCTCCTCTCTTCCCTTTCCCTCTACTTCGGAGGGACGTGGCTTCAGCGCTACTCTGAACGTGCTTTTCCCGTTAATCCGCGCATAAAATGATCAAACGAATACAATGTTCGTGAAAACTGACGTCTAATTAACTAGCCTTGGGTGTATGTGCTTATGTCTAAAACCGCTTCAGCTTCCCTTTAAAACATCATTTCCGTAAGGATTTTAAAGGGGTACGGAAACAAAAATTGAAATATTCCGATTTTGTTCGGAAATGAGTCAAGCATGACAGATAATAACCATAAATGATAATCGCACGTGTGTATTTTGAACGATTGGCTATATTTTTCGTTCCAAACGGTGCACTCGAGCAAGCGCTCGAAGAGAAGCGAACGGAGAGCGCGATGCGTCATGGGATATCCGGCGCAAACAAAAACAGAAAGAAAAGATTCCCCGCATTTGTGACGCAGCAAGGCTTTGTTGTTGGTGCCGTTGTCAGCGTTGTGGCGTCAATAGCGTCAACGCATTACAATCGAGCCGTTCAAAGTACCAGTGGGGTGACGAGCGTGTGGCTGGCCCAAGGAGCACATAGCTTCCACAGCGCTGTCAGCTTAGGGGTGAACGGGGTGGAAAAAGCAACTTTTGTCCAAATTTTCAGTGAAGGGCCAATCTTCTAGGGGGAGAATGGCTGTCTCCGGCTGGCGTGATTATCAGCTTTGCCCTTGGTGGCGTTGTCAGCGTTGTGGTGCTGTCAGTAGCGTCAGCGCGTTACAACTGAGCCGTTCGGAGTACCCGTGGGGTGACGAGCGTGTGGCTGGCCCAAGGAGCACGTAGCTTCCACAACACTGTCAGCTTGGGGCTGAACGGGGTGGGGAAAGCAACTTTTGTTCGAGTTTTGAGCGGCGGGCTAATCTTCTAGGGGGAGAATGGCTGTTTCCGGTTGCACGAACGAGGGTCCGAGAAAGAGGAGAGTCCTTTCTTCCCGTCTTCTTGGACTGTTTGGTACAATGCGCTATTTGTGAGTTCAGGAGGAAAGCTAAGAAGGAAAACGTTGAATGCCAAAGAGCGGCGCTGCTCCGAAGGAATCTGCTACGTCACGACTACGTAGCAGATTCCACAACGTTGCTAGACTACCTCCCAAATAGGCTCCGCATGCATCCACCAGGTGCACATTGAAAGATTGTTTATTTACTTTAAAATTAGTTTTCTTGTGCTTTTCAACGGAAGACTGGTGTTTTTGAGGTTAGGGTGCAACATGCAACACGTTAAAGCTAGAAAATGAGCGCTGAAATTTCGTTTCCCTACCCCTTTAAGGACGCATAAGTGCCCTGTCAGACACTTCTACATGTGGTTGGCATACCCGTGGTTAAGAGACAAGGGGAGCAATCGGAGAAACCCTCCGGGAAATGAGCTTCAGAGCTCCATACCTGGAGTGCTGTTCACCTGCACACCGAACTGTCCGCAGTCCTCCGCACACGAAGCAAGAGGAGGAGGCGCACCGGCGGAAGAAGAAGCGGAGCCGCAGCAGGTCCGAGTCGACCTCGCCTCAACGCCGCCACAGGCCCTCGAGGTCGAGGTCGCGCTCGAGGTCACCTTCCAGGTCAAGGTCACGGTCCGTGTCCCCCTCCAAGAAGCGCTCCCCAGACCGCAGTCCGACCCCGCCGTCCTTCTTGTGAGTTCATTTATTTCAATGCCTCTAAGTAGCCTAAATAAAACATAGATGAAAAGTGTCATAATATGAAAAATAAATGTCAAGTTGTAACCGAAACACGAATTAATAAATTCACTCAACGTACCGTAAGGTCCCAAATGAGCACTCGCCCCGGACGGTTCGCCCGTCCCGTTTTTCTCGCCGAATATTCTTCGAATTAAAGTTTCGAAGCAGTCCTCGCCCTGCTTAATTTGCGTGATGTCTAACTGCCACACTCCCGGCAAAAGAAGAGGGAAAAAAAGAGCTGGCTTTAAAGTCTGGACAGATTGGTGGGGTTACCCTTTTATTCCGCCAAGTGTTGAGCAAGATTAAGTTTGCCTTATTTGTAGTACTGTGGTGAGTTGAGCTAGTCGGTATCACGACAATATATTAAAACAGTGCACGAGCAGAGAGGGACTCAAGAGAACACGGAGCGCCGACTCCCAACCAATGTCTCGTGAAAGGAAGAGGAAGACGGGGCATCAGTAATGAAACACTCGTGCAATAATAAAAAGGAAAACCGGCGATGCAAGAATGAGTTGTGCTAGAAAAGGAAGAAGAAGAAGAAAAAAAAAAGCACAAAGGGGACCCCGACTAGATCCGAGAGAAAGAATAACAATAAAAATCCAACATTTCTAGTCCAGCCAAAATCAATCGTCGTAGGTGTCGGCTAGGAAGGCCACTTCCTTATCACTCGGAGATAGTGAGGGTGGCTCATACATTGCTGGCCAATCTTTTTAATATGATAAAGGGTCAGTGCTATGTGTTCTCTTCTCTTCTGCTCTGCTTCTGCACTGTTTTGGTATGTTGGCACCATATCTTTTCACTATCTCAGCCCATTAATACAGTGCAACTCACTAACGAAGATGAGAAAATCCAAAATTTCAATTGTTATAACCAATTATCGTTATGTGTGGACTAGAAACTGATTGTGTCCAGTCTAGAAACTCTAGAAAATGATCGTTATAAGCGGTATATCGTTATATGTGGTATCGTTGTAAGTGGGTTGCACTGTAAACGCAATAAATATATGAAACGAAACTGCTACAAGTGAGTGCCAAAATTTCCTTATTTGCCTTCAATACCTTAGTCCATGGTGTTTAAATGAGGTGCAAAATACATTCAATACTTTAGTCTATGGTGTTCCAATGAAGTGCTAAATTAATGAGGCGGCATTAGAGATATTAGAACAAACTTGCCTAGTTTGCTTATAAACTTAGTCTAATAACGTGCACAGTTTATATGTGCCAGCAATAGCACCATCTTTTTGTCATCTTAGGATCTTAGTTACCAACCCTCTTCTTCACTGCTGCATACGCCGTTGCTTGCCGACAATCGTTGGTAATATTAAAGGGCGAAGACGGCAGAAAATGCGCCTCAGTGATGCATCAAGCGGCAGCTTGTGCCATCTTGCCAAGAGCAGTGAAGGTATGCGGCGAACCTGCCCTTCACTATTGCCACCACACGCCACGGCGCTAGGTGGCGCAAGCTGCCACCACTCGCCACGGCACACTTCAAGAAAGAGCATCCTGGAAGCCCGTGAAAGCGAGCTTACATTGACCGTGATTGGTAGCATCGATTTCTGTGACATCCGTGCTCCGGCGTGTTTTCACGCCATGGAGCTCGAGTTTGCCCTGACCACAATTTGCAGTATCGGTTCTTGTTACATGCAAGTTCGTAGTAGGTTCCCACATGGTTATCGCACCCTGGAATTTGTTGTGTATGGAACCTGCAGTATCAGTCAGACCTCCACAGAATGTAAAGATATGATAACTTAGTTTTTTGTAATGGTTTCCAAATGCCTTTTTTTCCAAGTCTCTAGATTTGGCGATTGCAAACGGTGACATTGTAAACTGTCTCCGGTGAACACTTGGTCTTTGCACACATTTTGTCAAGGTAACTTGATGGCGGTGTTTCACTTCTCTAAGTGGAAATTTCGGCAGAGGGCATAACAGCTTATTTGACAATCTTGTCCTATGCAACTTTTTCACGGAATGATATAAAAATGTTTGTGAATATAGTGCAAAATACTGCGGAAGCCCCGACTTTCTACAAGCGTCCACTATTAACATTTCCCAAACTTGGGAATTCTGCAAATTATACGTTAAGTGTCCACACCTTCCAAAGTGCCGGCATCAGACGAAAATATTCACCCTGTTGCGGCTGCCACAGGACCGCCAGTGACGATGACAAGGATATTGTATGAAAATAAATTGGTTTTCTCCAATTTCGTTTACCTTGCCTTTGAAGATCTTTATTGGCCACCATCTTGGTTTTTACCGATTTGACCAGACAAGCATGCATGTAACCCAGTTTTCAGTGAAAGTGGTGTAGGCGATTCCCCGGTATTTTACGACAGTTATAATACTTTACACTTAGCACTTTGAAGTTGAGATATTGCATGACATCCCTACCATTTTGGAACTGTTTGCCTTTTGTCAAGCTCAACTGGGATGCTTGTTTTTTGTTTTGTTTCTCTTTATGTTAGCGGCTCATCGTATGGTGGCGACCCAAGGGACTCGAAGCTGGACGAATCCAACAAGGGTCATCAGCTGCTCCGGAAAATGGGTAATGTGTCTGGCGGTCATCTGGAAAGCGCCAAACATCATTACAAAGAAAGTACAGTAAAGTAATACCGTGATATTCCGAACGAACGCCTACCTTTTCACGAGAGATAATCGGAAGAAAACAAGGCGGGTGGGTGAATTTTCGAGATTTGCCCGCCCCCTCCTCTTTTTGGCGGAATGTTTTATTATCGTGAAGTTCGTTGCCTGCATACGTGCAATGAACACCGCCGATCGGCATCGGTGCTTATTCCGTGAGAGCATGTTTCTAAGACCATGTTCCCTTTGTTAATATCCCCAGCCTTTGCTGATCTGTAGATTAAAAAATAAATGGAGTTAAAAAAAAAAAAAGAAAGTGTCAACAAGAAACCAAGTGCAACCAGCGAGCGAGCAAGCGAAAGGCGCGACGAAGGACAATGCTGGGGTAGCGATAAAGTTGGGGATCACAGTGACAGATACTTGGGTGGGCGCCTTGTCAGTCACAAGGAGTAGGCTCTTGCGCAACTTTCTTGTTTGGTGCGTACATGCGTGCATCAGTCCGGAGACTTCTAAAGAGAAAGGTCTGCCCAGATGTCCTGAGTTCTTTGGAATTGCTATTTTTGGAGGGTTGGCGATATATTGGGACTTTCTTTGACAGAGATGTTTAGGCATAAAAGGGGGGTGGGCAAGTTCGAGGGTGGGCGTACATTCTGGATGTTACGGTAACTGACCAATATTTTTATCTATGCAACTAAGAAACGTTTTAAGCTATCTGTTACGACGGAATGCTTCGTTATATTTCTCTTAATAATCGAGCGCAGAAAGAAAATGCACCCACCTTTTTCCATAGAATATACTCCCGGAAGTCAACTTAGACTGGTGCCTTCTGCTTCAGTTTGAAACAGCACACTGGCGCCCGCTAAAAAAATTATTCGCATATCCGGTATGGGGGACGAAAAAATTATGCAGGCTCAATCATGCTGACAAAGGCCAGGGAGCACAGAATTCCTCTTACACAAACTTGTGAGGTTTTTTTTGCTTATTATTCATTTAATAATTATTTTCATCCAAAGCTTGCTGCTGTTGCCAGCACTTTTGTATTGAAATAAAAACATTCACTAATCCATACCAGCTGTGCCAGTAGCTCAGTGGCTATAGCAGTTAACTGCCACCGCACCGGCCCAGATACGAGCCCCGCCAGGAGCTTGAACTATATAAAAATCTTTATATATAATCTTAACATCTGTAACGCTCCCAGCATATCACTTGTTTGTGACATTTTTCTCACAGAAAACGCCACATAAAACAGACTCCTTGTTAAAAACAAGACATTACAACCTGGAGTAGAGTAAGAAATATAGATGAGGCAAAACGAGAAGTCACGATAAAAGCCTGAACAACTTCCAGTTGCCTGGCACGGGCAAAACAATGTTTTCCCCTATAGCTGAAGTCCCACGATTTAAGATGGTGACGGCTAAGCGAAAATGGAGTATAGACCGCTCCGTCCCCAGTTTTTTAAGTTTTTTTTTTTTTATTTGTTAGTATTCTCAGAAATGTGACGGAATTGCAGGTTGGGGAGGGGCGGGCCTGGGTGCGGCGGAGCAAGGCATTCAGGACCCCATCCACCCCGGCGACGTTCGGGACCGCTCGGACCTGTACAAGGGGGTCGGGATCAGCCTGCACGATCCGTACGAGAACTTCCGCAAGAGCAAGGGCCAGGCGTTCATCAACCGCATGAAAGCGCGCTCCGACGACATCGTCGGGAAATGATCGCCTCGCATCCCGCACGCTCGGGTTGCCCTCTCCTGGCTCGAAGATGTGTGCCGCAAAGTTCTGCTTTGTCAAGTTCCACTTCGCAAAGTTGAGCTTCACAAAGCTCGACTTCGTGGGAAATGTGACTTGCAAAGCCCGACTTCGCAAAGCTCGACTGCGCAAAGTTCGACCTCACAGAATTTGATTTTTTTTAAGTTTGATTTTGCAAAGATTGACTGTGGGAAGATTGATTTTGCGAAGTTTGACTTCGCGAGGCTTGACTTCGCAAAGTTTGTTTCTGCAAAGTTTGATTTTGCAAACATTTTGTAAAGTTCAACTTCACAAAGCTCAACTTTGCAAGGTTCGACTTCGCAAAGTTGGAATTTGCGAAGGTGAATTTCGCAATGTTTGACTTCATGGAGTACCACTTCACAAAGTTCAACTTGGTAAAGTTCGACTTCGCAAATTTCGACTTCGCATCTTGGTTCACTTTCACTGTACAGAGACGGGAGGGGCGGGGTTTCATTTGCAGACGAAGTGCATATTCTTGGCACTCAACACACCGTTGTGAGCCTTCTTTTTTTTTTTTAATTTTAGTTATGCATGTATGAATCGAGTCAATAGAGGAGGATGAAAACGGTGGCGAATTATTTGTGTGGCCTACGTCAGACGCGGTATAGACTGCCCTCTACAGTGCTTCGGCCATGCAGTCTCGACCAAAGTTTGTGCAGGTCCGAAGCACCATCCAAGCAAGTGAGCTCAGTCCCAAAGCAGGTTAATGGAAATGACGCTTTTGTGTGTCATTCTAAATCTTTTAATGAGTTGCATTTCAGGCTATGGTAGAGATTTGTGAACACTAATTAAACTTCAAATGGTGCTGTGTCCATTGTGACCTTCACTGTGCAAAGCTGACTTTGTCACCTCTGCATTGTGAACACTAGGATTGTCACAGCACTACTTGATATGAATCACTGTTGGGGCTTTCCTGGGCCCTACTATTTTTTTGTTTCTCACAAATAGGTGAAGTGGAGGGTGATAATGCCTTGTTTGTGACAGTAGGGTGATACCGTTAAAAGTTTTAGAAGCCACAGTTATTTTTTTCCTAGCAGTGTCAGTGTTTACTTCAATGTTTCTTGAGATATGGGACAATGAATGACACTCAAGCTCAAAGTCTCCGTTACAGTTTTATTAAAAAGCTTGCGATGGAAGCAGAATTCCGAAAGCAGTTTGCCCGGGTTCAAATGGAGCTGGTGTTCAACAAGAGCACAACACATTAAATTTGATTTAATCTTTAGGATTATTTTCACACTTAACTACACAGTGAATATACTTTTTGGTATGGAGTGCAATGCCTTCTTTTCCTAAAATTATATTTTTTAACCATTTGCTCTATTGCTCGAGTTGTATGTAGGGCCTGCAGACATTTTATGGTTCTTCAAACGGCCACTTGTGCTTTGTGGCATTTAGCATCCTAAAGGATCAGCACGGTGACATGGGCAGCACCCTGTTTAAATGTCGAAATCTATGCCATGTTGCCCCCCCGTAAGTGTCGAGAACCTTGAAAGACAATGCTGGGACGACACAAACAAGTCATTTTGGCTGCTGACGTTCAAATTGCATATGAGCGGATATTTTTCAGATCCTCATCTTTTCATTGTACCATATCAGTGTGTTTACTTAGACACTGCTGTCTCCAGCTGTAATTGGTGGACGGAATGGGACATAACAAGCGATGGTCGGTTCTGTTGCAAACTGCAGGAAAATACTTTTGCTTTCATACTTTCAGTGATTGTCAAAATACTTTCATTGATTGTCAAAATTTGGTTTTTAAAAGCCCCTTTTGTTCTCCACCCATAGCTTTATACAGTTTGTGAATGGATATGAGCGAGTTACCGCGTGCGGGATGTTGAATATTGCGAAGGATGAGGACGTTGAAGGAAGTGTCTGTCGCTAGACATATTAGCAGTGCTGTACAAAATCTGGGCCACATTAAAAATTCATTCCAACTGGTGTCTTTTCTGCGTGGTTTAGGGAAGGTCGTTTCCCCAGCTATGGTCTGTGTAGTCTAGGGAAGCTGTTATCCAGGGAAGCTCCCCATTTATGACCTGTGTAGTCTGGAAACGCACATTTCCCCACAGGGCTGGCCTGAGTTGTGGGTGACCTGGGGTGGTCGCCCAGGGCGCCATCAACAGGGGAAGGGAGGTGCCGCCACGCCCCCCCTTTTGAACTCTTTTTTTTTTTTTTTTCTGATTTATTTGAACATGGCGCTTGACAGGACGCTATATGCTCGATCGTCGTTCGTTTTTGGGATGCGGTTCTCGTCTGACAAAAATGCTTGTGATACCACCGTGGGCCATACTCGCATGTTTACGAACAGCGTGATGTCGATAGCTAGGGGTGTATAAAAAAAAAGAGGAGGAGGGGGGCGCCAGGGTCAGAGTTTGCCCAGGGTGGTTGTTGGTTTAGGGCCGGCACAGTTTTCCCTGCTAGTCTTTCTTGAATTGAACTTGAACTTGCCCAACAAAAGCAAATCTATCCCTAATTGTAATACTTCCAGTTCACAAAATTTGCGGAGTTAAGAGAAGCTATAAAATATGATACTGGATTTCAATTTTGCATACTCTCTCAGGTACAAGGAAACTAGTAAACAAGGATAGGGAGCCAAAATGTGATCTTTGCTGTAAACTGGCGGATATACAGGACTAGAGGCACTTCCATTTCGTAATAGTCGCATTTATTTGTTTTTTCATACAAAATTGCAAATTAATTAATAATTAATTTTTAAGCAGAAAGTTAAAATCGAAACAAGCGCTCATCGGGACGTCACGCCTTCCCGCCAATGTCCTAAAAAAGAAAAAAAAAACGAGGTTACGGCGGTCGAAAGGAGAGAAACGCCGAAGGTCACGCGGTTGGTGCCCCCGTGAGAGCGCGTAATGGCGAATTCAACGGGGCGTTTTGGAGCACGCCCGGATCAATTGACCAGATTTGGAATGGAGCACACGATCCGAACGGGGTCGCGCCGCCTACGGATTCCCTACAGATCGAGATCTGGAGCGGGAGCTAGTCCAAAGCGACCAGTGAAACAGGTCCGTCTCGATCCCGATCGCCAGGTGAAATAGGCTCGCTCCAGAAAAGTAGGTCCCGGAGCGCTCCAAAACGACCAATGGAATTCGCCATTAGCCTTTTATTTTTTTACTTGTATTTATTTTTAGAGCGCAGGGGCTCTTCGGCGCCCGTTTCCGACTTGAGCGGCGTCGGTGCAACCGGGCGTAACCGCGCGTTGCATTATATCCCCACTAAATTTAGCGGAAAAGTTTCTCCTGCTAAATTTAGCGGAAAAATTTCACAGCTATATATAACTGAAAATTTCCCCGGTAAAATAAGCGGAAAAATGTCCCCGCTAAATTTAGTTGAAACAATCCCCGCTAAATTTAGAGGAAAAATTTAGCCGAAAAATTTCCCCGCTAGATGGGAAAGAGAGAAGGGGCATACTAGAGTTCCTGTATACACCAACTCATGTTTACAAACAAACCGGAGCACCCCTAGCGGACGCCACCGGCGCCGCGCATGCGCGATGGGGGTGTGGGCAAGAAGTTCGCCGTCGCCCATAAACAAACCATTGAAATGCGATGTTGTCGGCGTCGGTGCGAGTCCCCCTGCCCTTTTTCTCGTTCAAATTGTTGATTCTACGTCTCCCCGGCGATGTCTGACTATCTTGAGCGGCGTCAGCGAAATTACCGAGGCTCGTTACACCACAAAACTTCGCCTGAATAATGTGACATGTGGCGATTCATTCCGCGTGGACGCCGCAGTATGTACGCTAATGCTTGATTCGCATGATGAGATTTCGCTCGCAATTTTCAGTCGCGACGCCGCTCGGGCTGCAAAAGCGTGAACCGTAGCCGAGATGGTCGACGTCGATACTGAAAATCGCAAGCAGAATCGGACCAAGTGAATTAGGCATAACAAGTCGGTGATGGTCACTGGTAACAATGATCAACATCATCGTGTATCCACTGTTTACATCGAGCCTGCTTACCAACCTTCAAATTTAAGTCTTTTGAGACCTGTACTTACTTCTTATCGCAAGTACTGGGACAAAATTTGGTCTACGGGCCGGCGTCGTCTAAGAGAGCAGACGACAAGCAGAAACGTTTGAAAGAGCAGACGACAGTTCGAACGATCAGAAGGTCATTTGAACTTGAAGACGCACTGAATGTAATCCGTAGGTGCTCCGCACAACTTGACGGTTTCCTCGATTTCATGTTGGAACAAAACAAATAAATCTGACGACCCAAGTATCCGTGAATTCAACCCAAAGTGCATCCCACCCAAGCAATCGTTGTCCGACGGCGTCTGATTTTCCCTTTTCACGGCACTTATCCAGATCCTCGGACAAACCGAGCACGTGAAAACTGACCTTCAAACTTTTCTCGACACTTTTGGTACAGCCCCCGTCGCGGAGCTTTGACGAGAAGGCAGGTTTTTGTCCGGTTCCTTTCAAAACAACGCAGGAATACACGTCTGGCATGGGTACTTCTGCCCACAGTTCCAGACCGGAAGTGCGACCGACGCGCCACCACCGCGCCGTGACGTAACAGAGATGAGTTCGTGTATAGGAAGGAACTCTAGAGCATACACTTCCCTCCATTAACTTCGGCCCCAACTTTATGTGTGACGAGTTTAGAGACCCATGTGTTCTATTGACTACTCAGTCAGGTAGTACTCAGTTGTACTCGGTACCGGACAATCCACCGAGTTTTGATAATAGGGAGTTGTAGTAGATCGTTTTTCTCCTCCGCTACGGTATCCCCGAAGAAAACGCCGCAGCTGCGCATGCGCGCCGCCAGCCTTCTCTGCATAGTTCAAGGTCTTGTGGCGGATTACGGAGCGCTATCCGGGTGCTTAGAGGGCTGCGGGAACGGTCTACTACAATTCCCTAATGACATTTTAGAACGCTCGCAGAGTTTAGGGTTCGTACCGTATGGCACACCCAAGGCACAGAGTCGAAGGTTCGGACAGGAAGACCAGAGAGGTCGTCGAGTCGACTTGTAGTAGTCTCCAGGCTGGAGACTGGGCAACGAACCAAGCCTTCGCTTGGTTCGTAGTCATCATCCGCGAAGTGTAAAGAGCATATCAACAAGGCTCGATTTTGATTTCGGTAACAATCCTGCAGGGTTCAAAATCAGTAATACAAAAAATTCGCCTCATTACTCAACTTACCCTGACGATTATCTCCCCATCTAATGCCCTCCGAGCTTGATAAAAATATGGTAAAGTCAGAACTCATCTAACTCTCCATCTCCTATTAAAAAAAAAAACGAATTAGTATGAAACAGTTTATATGAATTAAAGAGGCGTTTTCACTGAAGTAATTTCGTCCACCCTTTTGTTGTGAGCTCTCTGGCGTGTGTGTGTCAAAGACGAGCATTCCAAGGATTTACACGATCCCTCTATGCGTAGAGCATAAAAGCTTGTAAGTCTTACCACGCTGACATCTCCTTAACAGGTTGCGATGTAATCCTTCAAATGAGTAAATTTGTTTGAAAAAAAAAAAATAACTAACTACAAAGTGGCGGATTAACGTCATGTGAAAACACCCTATAGAGGGTGTTTCTTTTTAGGCTTAACACATAAAAAAAAGGCCGTGGAAGCCACACCAATGCGGATGGTGCAGGTGAGTTACATAGCCAGGAGGACATAGTATAGTGTGCTTATTGTAACGATCAGTCGGCTAATTAACTAAAAGATGTTAACTAACGTTTCAATTATCGAAAATAGACATATGGTTCTACCGTCCTGCTGAGCGTGATCGAAAAACACTAAATTGGACAATAATAATAACCGGGGGAAGAGGATTTTTGATACGTCACTGGGATGTAGTACTTTGTTAATTGTGCTACATTCTTTAGGGTAGCATTTCAATGCCGCTTGTTGGCTCACAAAATAGTTCGATTAATTTCCTTAGGCGTCGCTAAGAGGGAGAGACCTTGCGGAAGCTTCTGCCTCGACCGATGGCGGGCGCGGGGTCGGAACGATAGGTTGGTGATGCATTATGGGGGTGGGTGATTTCATAGCATCCTCGATCATCCGCACCGGTGCGCACCGGGGCACTGAGGTGCGCCCCTTCATCTTCGATCACGTGCACCGGTGCGCACCGGACGTCCTCGATCAACGAAGCGCACCCTCCCGGTGCGGCTTTTCGTTGCCCCAACGCGCACCAAGAAAATCGGCGGTGCGCCGGGGGGCAGTCCCATCAGGCATTGCGGCCAGGAGCGGGAATCGAGAAGATGGCGGGAGTAGCAGACGCGCAGACTGTCGAGATGGCGATCTTGCAAAAACGAACACGCCTCGCAGCTGCACTAGATGATTTCCTCGGGTCTTCTGACGGCGAGACGACGAGCTTCTCGCCATCGCTGCGATTACTGGCGATTGCTGCGGTGGCAAGGAGCGCCCGAAAAGCACGAACTTCGTGGACAGCGGCGCGAGGCGTTTCGATGACAGCGAGGTACGGCTATTATCTGGTGTTTCGTTTTCTTGAACCAATAATGATGGCCAACATACACATGTGGAATTGTCACCCGCTTCGAGACCCCATCGACAATCACGTCCACGATGTTTATTTCTGTGGGACCGTCTAATCCGCGAGTAAAAGAATAGAAGAAATTGACAGCAGACGGGCACCGTGCGCTGACCTACGCAAGAAAAAACGAACAAAACGCGAAGTGACGCAAGGTGGAGCTCGCCGCGGTGCACCGGCGCGGCGCAGTTTGTCCTCGATGTTGCACCGACATCGCGCTGCACGACCGAGGAGCGCTGTGCACTGTGCTGGTTTCAGGGCGATTCCGGTGCGAGTTGATCGAAGATGCTATCAGATGGCATCGAACTGGGAGCGGCTGGTCGACATTTGTACTTCACTCGATATTTCTGTATGTAATTGTCTAATTTATAGCATAAACTAATCCAAAGGTATTTTTGCCTACAAAAAGTGGGACAGAGTGCCGGAATAAAAGATATTAAAACGACTGCTAAACCTGGCCGTGATCGTAAGTTCACACAGCCCCATTTTCTTACGTTCATTGTGAAGCTTTACTTTGCACCGGCGGTTTCGCGGGCGGATCCGCGCAGGCGGATAGTAGACCATGAAACATGGGAGATGAAATCGACTCGTCGCTGGCGGAAATTCTGGATCGGTCCTATAGGACCGATCCAGAATTTCCGCCAGCGAAAAGTGGGGTTTCCGCCAGCGAAAAGTGGGGCAGCGGAAAGTGGGGTTTGGAGCCTGTCTCGGAATCGACTCGTCACTGGCGGAAAGTCTGGATAAGGGTAATATGGGTCTATAGACCCATATTACCCTTATCCAGACTGGATAAGGGTAATATGGGTCTATAGACCCATATTACCCTTATCCAGACTTTCCGCCAGTGACGAGTCGATTCCGAGACAGGCTCCAAACCCCACTTTCCGCCTGCGCGGATCCTCTTGCGATTACGCAGGGACGCCGTCAGAGGTAATTTATTCTCACCAATACAGTGAAGTATCTCCAAAAAACAAGGTCCGTCCCGTCGTGTGGACATGCTTTGCTGCTTCGTGTAAAAATATAAATGGAAACAAAAGTACACACAAAACGTCTTATTACACTGTACAACGTGCCTCAGTGTCTGCAGACACTGTCTAAAGCTTCCCTGACGGCTTTCTCATATTGGTCGTACAAAAACTGTCTGCAGACATGTTGGAAGCATATATGGAGCAAACATGCATCCGTGAGGCGTGTCCAGTGATACTTCTGTCATAGTGTTTGCAGCGGACAGCGTGTCTTACGTATGATGTATGGGCATTCAGCAACCGGGGTGAAACACACGAAACACCGTCTCAAAGATTCTCAAAGTTCAATTTATTAAATATCTAACTGTACAAAATTATATACATATATACAAGACATTTGTTCATTGGAAGAGACCTAGGACATACACGGGGCATTCAATCCACTTCTTCAATCGTGGGTCCTCCATGACTGGGCGCACTCTGCTTCGTGCCCTGATGCAGCTTGCTCATGATGGGTGAACAGTGCTGCTGCAGCTCCTTCAGTCTGTGCTCGTACTCCTCCTTCTCAGCCAGAGTGTTGGAGTCGATCCAGGATATGGTGTCCTTGCACTTGTCCAGGACACTCTGCTTGTCGGAAGGAGAGAGTCTGTCTCCCGCCTCCTCTGCGGCCTGCTTGACGCCGTACACGTAAGACTCCAGTCCGTTCCGGGCGGTCACCTTTTCACTCTGGAGTTCGTCTTCGCGCTTGTACTTCTCCGCATCGGCCAGCATACGGTCGATGTCCTCCCTGGACAGACGGCCCTTGTCGTTGCTGATGCGAATGCTCTCTTGCCGACCCGTGCTCTGGTCCTTGGCCGAGACATGCAGGATGCCATTGGCGTCCATGTCGAAGGTCACTTCGATTTTGGGTACACCCCGCGGTGCAGGGGGTATGCCACTCAGGTTGAACGTTCCCAGCAGATGGTTGTCCCTGGTCATAGCGCGTTCACCCTCGAACACCTGAATGGTAACGGCCGGCTGGTTGTCCGCGTACGTCGTGAACGTCTGCGACGTCTTGCAGGGGATGCGGGAGTTACGTTCTACGATTTTGGTCATGACGCCTCCAGCGGTCTCGATGCCCAGTGACAAGGGCGCGACGTCTACGAGGAGCACGTCTCGAATGGCCTCGCTAGCGTCTCCACTGAGAACGGCAGCCTGCACTGCGGCGCCGTAGGCCACCGCCTCGTCCGGGTTGATGCCCATCGAAAGCTCCTTTCCGTTGAAGAAGTCTCTCAGCAACTTCTGCACTTTCGGAATACGCGTCGAGCCACCAACAAGGACGACGTCGTGAATCTTGGATTTGTCCATCTTTGCGTCCTGCAGAGCACGTTCCACCGGCTCCAGGGTGCTTCGGAACAGGTCCATGCATAGCTCTTCGAAGCGAGCTCTGGTGATCTTGCTGTAGAAGTCCACGCCTTCAAACAGAGCGTCGATCTCGATGCTTGCTTCGGCAGAGCTGGAAAGAGTCCTCTTGGCTCGCTCGCAGGCTGTTCTCAGTCTCCGGACTGCACGGGCGTTGCATCTGAGGTCCTTGCGGTGTTTGCGCTTGAACTCTTCGCAGAAGTAGGTCACAAGCCGGTTGTCGAAGTCTTCACCTCCCAAATGTGTGTCTCCGGCGGTTGATCGGACTTCGAACATGGAGCCTTCGTCGATGGTTAGCACGGACACGTCGAAAGTCCCTCCTCCGAGATCGAAGATGAGGACGTTCTTCTCTCCCTTGAGGTTCTTGTCGAGTCCGTAGGCCAGTGCTGCTGCGGTGGGCTCGTTGATGATCCGCAGCACATTGAGGCCAGCGATAACTCCGGCGTCTTTCGTAGCCTGCCTCTGAGAATCGTTGAAGTAAGCAGGCACCGTGACCACAGCGTCGCTGACCTTCTGACCCAGGAAGGCCTCCGCAGTCTCCTTCATCTTGGTCAGCACCATGGCGCTGATCTCCTCCGGGTTGAATTTCTTCCGCTCTCCTTTGAACTCCACGCTGATCTTGGGCTTGCCAGCGTCGTTCTCCACCTTGAAGGGCCAGTGCTTGAGATCACCCTGGATCTTGGGATCATCGAACTTTCGTCCAATGAGCCTCTTGGCATCGAACACTGTGTTCTCCGGGTTCAGCGCAGTCTGGGCCTTGGCTGCGTCTCCAATGAGTCGCTCGGTGTCGGTAAAGGCAACGTAACTCGGCGTCGTTCGGTTTCCCTGGTCGTTGGCGATGATCTCGACACGACCGTGCTGGAACACACCGACACAGGAGTACGTTGTGCCCAAGTCGATGCCGATGGCCGGCGCTCCGCTCTTCGTTCGGGATGGCATGGTTGCGTAGTTTGCTTCGCTTGGCAGTTGATGCCACAATTTGAAATTCGCGCTCTTTGTATCAGCTGCGAAATGATTGCGGCTGCGAGCCCGCGATCCGCCTTATGTACGACTCCCTCGTCATTCCAGAAGCTTCCAGAGAGACCGAGGTCTCCTTTGGCGAATCAGCAGCGATTATCGCCGTGACGTAAATCTGGGAGCGCGTCCATTGGTTGGCTCGATATAGAAAGCGCTGGAAGCCTCCCGCGTCGTCTGCTCTATTCGGGTTCAGTAAAGCTGCGCTTGTTTTTAGTGCCGCTTTTCTTTCCGTGTTTCTGGTTACAAGTTTGTTTTTGTCAGAGTAACAAAGAGAGAGAGAGAGAGAGTTATTAATCAACGTTTATTTCGTCATATCGAGGGGGCTGGCGACTTTAGTTGAGTGTCCCTGAGAACTGCCTGAACCGTGCTTAAAGATTTTAAAGAACACTGAGTCAGTGTTTAATTTTCAATGCTTGTTCACTAGAATCATTAGTTACTCGCAGTGTCAAATGAAACATAAATTGAATCACATGTGAGGTATTAATAAACTTATGTCGGTGCGGACGTTCATTCAAATAATCCACACACTAAAAAATAGACGGGGGAGGGGGGGGGGGGGGTATTCTTACACCCGTTGTCGATCTGGCTGTACAAACTTTCACGGCCCCTCGTAAAATGTGGGGCCGTCTGTTCGACTATTGTGCGCTGTACGTCGAACTAAAGTTTCGGGGTGCATTATATGGGACAAAAGAGTGTAAGGTGATATAATACCTCTTCTTTTTTTTTTTCTTTTTTTTTTTCTAGAGTGTAGGGTACACGGTTGCATGTCTATTCCATTTGTAACGTATGGTGTAATGTGTTACAGAACGAGACACCGAAACATTCCTGCATTCCTCTGCGGTTGAACTCACGTTGCGTTGTTTGGGATTTCTGTCAAGAGATGGCGCCACCAATCCGTGCGGCGCAATGTTGGCGCAGCGTTTACGCGACGCGGTGCGCGTTCTGCAGAATATGCTCGAAGTTCCTCGATGCTCCTAGAGCACTATATAGCTCCTTCGGAGCAGAGTAGCGCAATCTAGAACGCCGTCTCTCGGCGACTAGCGGCGAACGCCCGGAGGTTCCAACTGCGGTCAGAAATGCATGGAGAACGTGAGGAAATCGTTGTTTCTTCAGTTTTGTGGGGATGTGCGGAATGGAAATCATTTTTGACATAATAATGAAACATTTTAGAATAATATGCGATAAGTTTTGTGCCATACAAGGACGTAACTTTTTTTAAAAAATTGCCTGAGCGCCATCATGCAGCAGACGACACGGCGACGTCACACCATTCACGTGACCCGCTCCGGCCAACCCGAAAAGCCCATCTCCGCTGCGAGCAAAAATCGTCTGCTTCAAACGCCATTGCCTTGGAAATTGCATTCTCAAAATTTGCACACGCATCCGATATTATTAAAACTTTGCTAAAGTGTTTAGTGCTTTACTAACTTCACGACAGACTAGTTTTGAAAAGTGTGAACTCGCCGTTCATTTTTTAATCAGCTGTGTTGTATCGATCTCCATGTATTCTCCCATAGGGCGGGCCGCCTCTTGGAACCCTGAGTACCACGTGACTCGCGCCGAGCCGCTCTGTCGGCCATCTTGTCGGCAAAACACGAGGTTCAAAGGATTGCGCTACTCTGCTCCGTAGGAGCTATATAGTGCTCTAGATGCTCCTACCCGTTTTGAAGTGCGCGCGTTACTCACCCGCTCGTGACGTAAACACCATCAACCAATCACATCACAAAGCGGCCTTTCTCTCTCCTCCTCGCCTAGAACATTCACGCGCTTTCGAGGCTGCCTTGAAGCGCACATAAAAAGCGCTCTCCCGAGCTCGTCTGCTACAAAACAACTCGCATTCGATCGAGTCGTGTTTCGAGAGCGCCAACTCAGTCTATACTCGACTACCTCGCTTCGGCATCGAGATGATCGTTTTCCCCATGGCTCCGATCTTCACATCGATGGACAGGGGTGCCTTCCCCGACTGCGGTTCCATGATGAGTCGGATGTTTGACGGCAACGACTTCGACAAGACTTTCTTCGACGGCATCGTACCTGTTGGACTCTTTAGATATCCGGAAGATCGCCGCAGCTCTTATAAAGGGTCCAGTCCGAAGTGTCCGTCCTCCGAGGTGTCGCTGACTCCGGACAACTTCGCGCTGAAGCTGGACGTCCGGGGCTTTGTTCCGGAGGAGATCAGCGTCAAGACCGTCGGAAATTCCGTCGAGGTGCACGCCAGGCACGAAGAAAAAGACCCCGAGGGACGCGGCTTCGTGATGCGTGTGTTTCGACGCAAGTACACGCTTCCCGACGACGTCGATCCGGCATCCGTGACGTCGCAGCTCATAGGACGTGGCCTGTTGGCAGTCGAGGCCCCGAGGAAGAAGGCGGAGACGACACCACTGTCTGACACAGTCCCCATCCCTGTGGAGCACACGTCTTCCAACGACGTCCCTTCAACGTCGCAGGAATCAAGTTAAGAAGATACGAACTTTTTATTTTAATTTAACGCCTGTGATATTTTTTTACTTCACCTTTATAGCTATTTAAGAAGCCTAATAAATTATATTTTTTATCATAACTATATCTGCGTCTACCGTTTTTATCAGCTACAAGCATGACTCCAGCCAACGTTTATCCAAATTCCAAAGCAGATTTTTTCCATCAAAACATCGCTTCTTGGAGTAGCCTTCTGCACAAATCATGCCCGGGATATTTCCATTTTCCTTCCACGCGGACGCGATTAGAAGGCAGAAGCTGGGGGAATTCGTGTGCAATAGCATGCTGCTTCTAAGAGAGCGTACCAGATTTATAGTGCCTGTCAATTTAGATGTAAATAGTTTAATCACTGTGCACAAACATTCGCGGGCTGGAGGATGACATGCAGGGGCGGATTTAGAGGGGGGGTCCGGATGTCCTTACCCCCCTCTTGATTTCTGCATGTGTAAAATTTAGGACTTAAAATGAAGGAGAGGGGGAGGGGGTTCCTAAACATAGATTATGCTGACCAACACCTGACCCCCCCCCCCCCCCCCCCCTCAGGAAATTCCTGCATCCGCCCCTGATGACATGGAAACATGGCGGAAAGCAGCTTGCTGGAAATAGATAGAAGTCTCTATTGCATTGCACTGGTGTGAAAAAATTATTACGTATTTTTGTCTTATTTCTGTGCGAAAATAAAAAAAACAGCGTTTAGAAACCGAACACTGTGCGTTTTGAGGAGCGCCGAAAGAACATAAAAACCCGGTACAACCTGAACAATACGATGCGCCTTGCGTCGCTCAGCTTTTCCTGGTTTCTTGTTTTCCGGAGCCTTTCAAAATGGGATAAAAATTATTAACCGATTGACCCGACTTGCCAGATTAGAGCAGTTCTTTTTTATTACGACAGGCTCTCTTCAAGCGTCTTGCATAGTTCAGTTTGTACTGGTCGTTTTTATTTTCGGTTCCGTTCAAGAAGTGAGCTCTTCTAAGCCACTGGACCAACCTACCACATTCATAATTCGCGGAAGCGGAGAAGTGGAAATGTGACGAAAGGAAAGATTCGCCCGCGTTATTTGAGGCTTATAGAAAAGTGGACCAGATAGAAGGAGGCCGAAATCTTTTTCAAGAAACACACAATCTTCTCTACAATTCTGTCTAACGATTTGATATGAAGGTATACTTGGACGCCGGCATTTTTCGTTTAGGAATCAAGCGAAACTTTGTATTAGAAATTCCCTGGCAGATTCACCACCATATACCCTGGTGTCCTTTCTCCAAGAAGCGAGGTTTTGATAAAATATCGTTGCTTGGCCGCTGTTTTTTGTAGTAGCGCGAAAAACAAAAAAGAAAAAGAAAAGAAAAAAAAAGAGAGAGAGAGAACAGGAGGGGGGGGGGAGCAACGGTTTTCGCAAGCTGTTTCTTTTTTTTTTTTTTTGCGATTGTGATATTTTGGTGTGCTTAGGTATGCTTTTGTGGTGTAAACAATTTTACGCACTCCCCAAAAATATTTTATCGTCAACGACAGTTGTAAAGTATTACGCACTGCCTCGGGTGCTTTGACCTTCCGCACTAGAGCGTCACAGGAGCGAGTGTTTCCGCAAATATAAATACGAGGACCTATTTCTCCCTTTGAATCGATCACTTGTGTGGCATCACGACGAATACACTTTGACCATGAAATCATAACAAATAATGATTGATGATGCAATCGATTGGGTCCCAACAGTAGAGCCACATTATTTAGATTGCAAATAAACTGGGCGTCGTTCATGCGATGTGTTTACTTCCACGTTCGAATGTGTTGAGAATGAGTAGCCAAAAAGCGGCAGTCTGCAGGCTAATTCATGGAGTGGCCTGATATCTCCCCAACTCGGGAAAGGGGGAGGGAGAGAGAGAGAGAGAGAAAGGGGTGGATGTTGTGGGAAGGTGATATTTATTCTCACTCAGGAAAGTCGCCGGTCGTTAAAAAGTCGACTCGCTCATAACGGGAAAGCTTGTGGGATATACACTCCGTGCGACGCGACCGGCGCGCCGCCGCGTGGCCGTTACCGAAGGTAGGCAGTGAGAGCCCTTGCGAAAGGAAACCACGCTGCGTACATTGGTACGCATTGAAGTCGGAGCGGTGCGGTTGCGCTGGGTTGACAGCATGAACTGCTGCGTCATTAAGTGCTCCAATAGTTATGCGTCGTATCTCGTGGGGACGATGTTTCACAATTTTTCACCTCGCCGATGTTTTGTGGGACAGCGACAACGATGGACCCGTGCCGTACGACGCGAGAAATTTGGTCTCCCGATCATGTCTCCTATACTGTGTCGGCACCGCTTTGCGCTGTGCGTTTGTTTTCGTACCAGTAACGCCTACATATTTCAGCTCGAACTGAAAGGCCATCCCACACTCGCGGGTATGCAGTGCGAATTTCGTTGAAGGAATGCCCTCCAAAGAAGTTTCGTCCTCATCGTACGTGTCAATGATATTTCCGGACCAGTATGGCACGCGGTCTGTACTTCATGAAGAAGGATTTGGACGGTACAAAAAGTGACAAATATGAATCTAAGAAAAACTACAATGAAACTTGGAATCACTGGACAATCGATGTTTGAGTATGGAAGTTTATGTGGTGTGCTTTCTTATTTGATCAGCTTCCTTTTGGATGTGGAAACGCTGACACCCCGATTCTTGTAGACAACAATTTTTTTTTTTTCTCGGCTTTAGAGCCACATATCGCAAAGTTGTTCGAACTGGAACTACCGTCCACAGGTCCCTTCCGACCCAGGGCTTAAAGTTTGGGGTGCCTCATGGGGTATCGACCCCCCCACCCCCACTGATTTTAACGGATGGTCTGAGACCCTCCTCCA